TTCAAAGTAGCATTATGATTCATCGCATACAATAATCTGTTTTTTAAACGTACTGGTAAAGAATTTTAGCCTAGTCTATTACAGCTAGTTCTACAATAATTTTTTATTACTGCAATTTAAATTAAATCTTCTAAGAAGACAAAGTGATCATTAAAATATCTGATTTATATTTAAATTTCCGAAAGGATAGGATAGGATTTACTTATTTATCCCAGGGGAGAGGAAAGCCGATAAGACGGCTTATCCATATGGCGAACCACGGCCTCTCGTCCGGTTACCATTCCAAGTCGGGTATGGGATTAGTTATATATTGTTTGTTTTCGGAAGCATGGACTTGGTGGTGGAGGAAGCCGTAACCGACCAGCGGTTATGTGAACCACCCAACGACGGCGAGGAGTCCAGCAATCCTCTCGCACATAACCATCCCTGCATTGGATTCGAACCTGCGAACCCACGCAGAGTAATTAGAGGTGCGGTGGCGACCGTATTCCTAACGCTTAGCCCGTTTAGCCACACCGCCGCGCCGTGAAACACAACTGAAAACTAACGAATTTAGCTCAAAAACCCGAAAACGAGGTAATGTTTACGACCACGCCTGAGAATCTGTCTGAATGAGCAAAGTGTCTGAGTGGATACGAAAAGGGGGCATTGTTACGTCACTTTTTGCATCTTGCTGATTGGCCAATGTCACGAAGTAAATGAGAAAGTCGATGCTCGGAGAAAGGTCCATAGACTTTCACTGCAGTCAAAAATGCCAATGATGCCGTTACAATTTAGAAAAAATCCTATTTAAATTAAGAGGCCACGAAGTATGAAGTCTGTAGCGGGCCACGTAAATAGGTACCGCGGGACGTATGTTGCACGCCTCCGGACTAAAAGTATCTATTACGGTATTACCGGTAAGCCACACGCGGTTATATATTTCTAATAAAAATGATGGTTTTGAACATGTTAACCAGTTTGCAAGCGATAACCAGCAGAAACACTCTCAAAATAGGCACAACATTTTTTAATTGAATGTACAGAAAGCATTTTCCTGGGGTTAAAGGTCGGTGAAACATTAGGGTCAGTGGCATTGTTAAAATAGGGTCAATCGTGTCCATCGCCGGCGGTGGTTTTTTATCGTGGGGGAGAGAAAGCCGATGATTAGGGCTGGGAGTGGTTATCCGGTTAACCGATTTCAGATGGTTAACGGTTACGATTTATTTTAACCGATAACTGACATCTCAGGTACAAGTCATCTTCATACCGTACAATTTCTTCAAATATGATTACGTCATCGCGAATTTACCGGTATCTCTTGTGGCATTTAATTCAAAAGAATATTACTAACTGTGTGGGTAAGGACTCAATAAATGTGGAAAATAATGGAAGTGCCAAGATTGCTGATTATGGAAATTTGGGTCTCGTGTAGTTTCGTACCTAACGTACTTCTAGTGGGCGTAGCATAACAATTTTTTGATATGTCAATCCTAACCCCCATCCCAGACTGGATTCCATGGCAGGTGCACGCCCGAGGGCGCTAGCGCTCCGCAAAAATGCACGCGAGCGAAATCAATTTTGCACGCCGAAAATTTGCAATTGCTCACCAATGTAAATCGGTTTAAATGGTTTTAAAATCAATAATCCAGTAATATAAAGATGCCAAAATATTATAACTCCACAATTGTCGACAAATACCAGCCTGCAAGATTTGGTCTGATCGAAATATTGCGAAGCAAAAAGACCATGGACCTTTCCCCAACCTTTGACCCGCGAAAAATTCCTCTCATTGTTACGTCCTTTTTTTGCATCTTACTGATTGGCTAATGTCACGAAGTAAACAAGGAAGTCGATGTTCGGGGAAAGGTCCATATCGTGTTGAATGATAGGAAATAGGAATCCCGTGAGAATAGTTATGGACGAAAAGATCGCCTCCGCACCAATGGCCAAGTACGGCTCTGATTCAGCGTATTTTTCATACAATAATTTTACACGAATGTACTGAACAGTACCGGTATCTAAAGTTGCTCAAACACTCCCAAAATTAGTGACAAAGTATGAAAATAATGTTTGGGGTCAAAGGTCAAACGTCCATTTTGCTCTAATTTGACGTATTTTTTATCCATTAATTCTACGTAAAAACACTACCAAAATTAATGACAAAGTATGTCCATTTTGCTCTGGTTCAACGTATTTTTTATCCAATAATTTTACGCGGATGTACTGAACAGTACCGGTATCCAAAGTCGCACAAACACTCTCAAAATTAGCGACAAACTGTAGAAATAATGTTTGGGGTCAAAGGTCAAACGTCCATTTTTTTCTCTGATTCAACGTATTTTTTATCCGATACCGGTAATTTTACGCGGATGTATTGAGAGGTATCTGATGTCAAAGTCAGTTGCACGCGAGTGCAGTTGTTTTGCACGTCGTGAGCTATAATTGCACGCCAGGAATTCTTATTTGCACGCAGGAATTTCTGATTGCACGCCCGATTTCTCGTTCAAAAAGGCCATGAAATCCAGACTGGCCCCCATCTGCAGATCTGACTACGCCATCCAAAAATTACGTCACTAAGACATCACAATTACGTCATAGAGCTTGCCAAATTTAAGTGCGATCGCCCGAGATGGCATTGGTGCCTACGATGAAGAACTGACTGACGTTATCGATCTCTCTCCTATTGGAATCGTAGCAACGAGAAAACGAGAGAAATAACTGTTCGATTTCGGGTGCTCATTTGCGCGTCTTGGGTGGCAGTTCGTATAGTTTGAAGGGTTGTATCACGTCACTGTGACGTTGAAATGACGTAATTTTTGGATGGTGTAGTCAGGATTGATACATGAAAAAATTGTCATGCTACGCCCATTAGAAGTATGTTAGGTACGCCGGAAATTTGACAATGATGAATTCAGAATCAGTTTTCGGTCGATTTCAAAATATATTTATTGTTCACAATTTCATTGCAAAATCGGATATTCAATGTCATACAACAAGTGCGCAGTTGATGCCGTTTTTCTTTATGATATATATCTCGAAGTAAACTTTGCACATCGAACACTGATAATTTGTCACATAAATGACGTTTAACAACGGAATCAGGTTTTCTAAAATACTTCAACACGCCCGAACCACGCTGCCTATCTCTTGAAGCAGAGCAATCATGAAACTATCTCGATTCATGAATAATTTTAATAAGCGATACCGGGATAAGAACACCCGAAATTGCTTTATAAGTATTGTGACGTAACAAGCTGAGATTAAAAATTATTACGTTAAACGTCACGCGGCGGTTAACCGGTTAATTTTACCCGGTTAACGGTTAAAGTGTTTTCCCTGAAATTCCCAGTGATGATACGGCTTGATCATATGGCGAAACACGGCCTTTCGCCCTGTTCATGTTGGGTATGAGATTACTTAGCCAGTTACCAGTATTTGTTCCAGATGCATGGAACGTCACACACAGTTCTGCAATTGCAGTTCGGGGTTTTATTGAACAAGAGACATGGGTTTGGTATCGGTGCCGTACGTGGCCATCTCGTGAGTTTGTTTTTTATTAGAAATCCCTATTCTTCCTACGGGTCTGGTATAGTTTAGTACCACATGTACTTCTATTTGGCCTGGCTCAACAATTTTTGCATATGTCAATCCTAACCCCCACCTGACTACGTCACCGAAAAATTACGTCATTTCAACGTCACAGTAGCGTAATAAGGCCCACCAAAATATGCGAATGGTCGTCCAAAACACGCAGACGATCAACCAAAATTGAGCAAGCTACGATCACGGTAGGAGAGAGATCGCCGGCCTTAGCGAGTTCGTTATTGGCGGCGCAGATGCCATCTCGGGCGGTCGTAATTATACTTTGGCAATTCCTATGACGTGATGGTGACATCGTAGTGACGTAATTTTTGGATGGCATAGTCAGGTGGGGGTTAGGAATAGCATATGCAAAATTCGTTACGCTACGCCCACTGGAAGTAATTGTGGTACTAAACTATACTAGACCCCTTTTTACGGCCTGGTCCTGCTGTAAAAAAAATTACAGGTTTTTGAATGTATGTATGTATGTTTATTCGTCTCGTAAAAGCAATATAAAAGAGTAAGTAATTATAAATACTGAAGACGGGATGTATGCACAAGACCATATTGGCCTAAAACACAGATGTGCGGCATACACCCCTTTTGATATATATAAATTATAATAGGGTAAATCAAATATGTACAATATGGTCCTTTATACAGGCAGTTGTGCAAGGAGGGTGGGTGGATGCGGTAACAGGGATAAGGGTGGAGTGTACAAAACTGTTTGTACAAAGGAGTTTGTTAGACAAAATAACATCTATAAATAGAGACACAACACAACATGAAATATAAATAAACTGCAGCACTGATTTCAACATAAAGATCCATATTGTATTCAGATATTAGAATACCGGTAGGATAGGATTTACTGTACCATACATATTTATCCACGAGAGAAGAAAGCCGATACAACGGCTTAATCATATGGCATCTGGTTACCGTACCAGTCCACGTTATCTAGAGATCTACCACACCGTACCTCCACTATTCTGACTATTGCAGAAAAGTTTGAATCTTGTTGCCAGATGAGAGTCCGTGATTCGTCAGTTTGTCATGTCATTAAGCTGTCGGATTTCCTATCCTAGACCATTCCCTAATCCTGACTTAACTTGTACGATAACCTAACAAGAGGGCGTTTAATCGTTTAGTTCAACATTTTATTATTTGCCTACCCCTTCTGAATAAAATTGAAAACTGCTTTTTTTGTATCTTAATTAGTAAATTTTATATATCAGTAGGCTATATATTGTTTTTAGAGTCCATGCCTCTGAAAACTGGTTAACTAATCCCATACCCAACATAGAATGGTAACCGGACGAGAGGCCGTGGTTCGCCTTCCTAAAAGCCGTCTTATCGGCTTTCCTCTCCCCCGGGATAAATATGTAAATCCTATCCTACCTTGCATCGAAGTTAATGTGCTTTGAAACTTACAGCAATAATAATATCTTTCTATATATATATTTAAAAATGTCGAATCATAAAAGTCGTAAATGGATTCGGGCGGCGAAAAAAGATGCACGGCCAGAGTTGAAAGGTCATGAAGGATGGTGTGGTCAGGATTATCTTCATACGTTCGACGTGTCTCATTCCACTGTGTTCGATACCTGTCCAAGAGAGGACGTCAGAGATCTCACACATGAACAATTTATTGAAAAGTATGACTGTTCTACTTTTTCTTCATTCAGTAGGTAGTTCATTCAATTAAACACTCTATTCGTCTCTGAAACGAGGGCGATTTGATGTTGTTCCGCTATTATTGTTTAGTTATTTAGTATTATTGTAATACATATTTATACAAACATGCAACACCAGGTAATGATCCATTTAAGATTTTATTGTGACTAGCGATGGTGCAAAGGCATAGCCAGGAGCCAAGCTATGTCTGATACAAAAAACTTTTCTTTTTACATTTCAAAAGGGGATTGCTTCAACCCTCTCCCACCTTCCTCATGCTGCGCCCAATGGGGGGGGGGAATGTATAATAAAAGTTGGGCTAGGACACAGGGTGTGGATATATCCAGCCAGAATAAGTTGGAAGATGGGGTGAAAGCCTAGCTTGGTCATTTTAAGAATTAGACATCTAGTGGTCAAACAAACAAATAAAGTTTATTCAATTTCTGACATCATAATAAACAGGAAAATCCATTGTTGCAACCTACCTAACTCATATTCTGCATTTTCAAATTTAATCATTCACATTGCTTGCCAGTTTGACTGCAAATATCGATCATATTTCAGATATGAAAGGCCTCTCAAGCCAGTTGTTCTCACAAATGTACAAGATGATTGGCAAGCAACGTACAAATGGACGGTAGAAAGACTCGTAAAAAAATATCGGAATCAAAAGTTCAAATGCGGGGAAGACAACGACGGATACTCTGTGAAATTAAAAATGAAATATTACATCGATTACATGAAAACAACTAGAGTAAGTTGACTAGTCTTTATTCAATTGTACGCTATGTGGATTATCTGCTGATAGATTTTGGCGACATAGAGTAGTAAGCAAGCATTGCAAACGTTTATTTTTTGAACATATTTTACTCGGAAAATTGGCGCATGGAATTCGAACTTGCGAAGCCACACGATGTAATCAGAGGTGCGGTGGTGAGCGTTTTCATAACATTTAGCTCGATGTGCCACACCGTCAAGCCGATTGCGAGACTTCATGTAGGTTGCAAATTAAAGGTAGAGACATTCAAAGAGCTCAATTCTTCGTGATATCTAATAATCATTGTTGGGAGATTAACTAAATTTTGTTTTTCAAAAGTATTAACGTGCGATTTATTAGAGAGATCGAAATTTGCGAAAAATAAAATTGATTAAGTTCTTGTTCTTTTTCCAGGACGACAGCCCTTTATATATATTTGATAGCAACTATGGAGAACATCCTAAGAGGAAAAAACTACTCGAAGATTATGAGATTCCAGAGTATTTTGCTGATGATTTGTTCAGGTTAGAAAATCCTTTTTTGTAACAAGTTTGCCAAAAGCGGAGTCTTGAGCCCCCGACTGAAAGTAGAAAGAGTGCTGATAGAGGAGCTGTGGGTATTCGCTGATGCATAAAAAGTTGTTTATTTTATATGATTCGCTTTCCTATTTTGATCTACTATTGTGTAGACCAAGATTAATAAATTTATTTATTTTAGATAGTCTACCTTGAGAATATAAATTTAAGAACTTCACATTGACTCGCTTTGAGCAAAGAAGTGGTTTATTTATTTTGTGTCATGTATTTAGAATATTCAGGATTAAAAATAATAGCAAGATAGAATTTGAGGATATCAAATTATCCAGATATGGGTCCTCTCGCCCAAAATTGGCTATTTTTCCCTTGTTTCGTTGCAAAATAAATTTACAGTATTTGAAGTTGAAAATAATTGCAAGAGGAATTCTAGAATAACAACACCCGATGTATTAAGAATATTCCTCCTTATTGATCCTTATTCCTTTTGATCATTATGTTAAGGTATTTAAATAAGGGAAATCAAAATAAAATGATGGCCTAACTCTAACCTGATACACATACTAGGGAGTACCCCTATCCTTTAGGCACTAAAGTCAATATGTTTTAGGCACTATCTTGCCTTGTAATGTAGAGCATTGTTTATTTGGGTTATTGACACAGTATTGACTCTTATTTATACTGTGTCTGGGTAAGCAATGTTATGTAACTCAAACAGAAATATAATATTGCTTAACTGTATGTGCCCTGTAATATTATTATATACAGAGATGAAATTCTGAATACATTCTTAGGTATTACTTTTTGATATCTTAAATTGAGTACATGCACCAAAAAAATACTGATCATTTTTTTTCTAAAACCAACATGGACTCGTAACCGGACAAGGGTCAGTGTTTCGCTATATGAATAAGCCGTCTTATTGGTTTTTCTCTCCCCAAGTATAAATATGGAAGCCTTTTCCCTAGGTCATATTCAAGATAGAAATACACAGATAATCAATGTAAATGTGTTTTTGTTTGGGTAACCAGTCTCATGAAACTCAATCATAATATATATTGCTGGTTGTGTACTCTGTATTATGATAAGTAGATATATGTTATGTTCTGAGGTATTTTGAACTATCGTTCTGTTCTAAATTGGGTCGTATTCAATAGTGAGAATTGGAAATGGGTCTGTGTTGGGCAGCCAGTCTTATGAAAATCAAACGAAAATCTAATATTGCTTAGTTGTATGATTCGTAATATAGCAAATAAGATTGACCCTATTTGAATGGTGATATTTTTCTGAATTTTGAAAAATATTATTCTATGCGCCTGCACTTTTTAGTCAAAGCAATTACCGAAAATCCGGAAGCCAGGGACGTTTAAAACTACCCGTATATTTGAAATATTTCAAAATTATAATAACTTATTGATCAAAACAGCACTCAAAAGTGGCCCCTCTTGCGTTAAAACCCCCAATATTGATTCTCCGTTTGAATTATTTGATATCTAAAAGGCACCTATACTGTCTGATACAATTTGTCAGATTACAGTTGTTCAGTACTTATGCTGCTAATTCCACCAAGTTTTCATATTTCCAGGTACACTGGTGAAAAGAAGAGACCTCCACACCGATGGTTTGTTATGGGTCCCCCAAGATCTGGGACAGGTATATTATTTGATTTGCAAACAACTCGCTAACTAACTATTCTAAGCCGTGGTTTTCAACCTTTTTTTCAGGCGACCCAAGTTTTCCAAAAAATAAAGTTTGTAAAAACTCGCGACTCGAGGATATTTTTAAATACTAAACAACATGTAGTACTTTTATAAAAAAATTCAAACTGCCATCTACAAAACAATCATTTTTACATATAATACTATTTATTTCACCAGAAATTGCCTCATAAATGAGAAAATGATCGTTTTTGGCAAATTCCATTATCTCATTGTATTGAATTTGCACGACAGCCTGGCTCATTGTGTTGAGCGTTAGGGCAACCGCGGTTACTCTGCGTGGGTTCGCAGGTTCGAATCCTATGCGAGAATAGTTATGTGTCAGAGTAGGCTTGCACGTAATTTACGGATTTACGGAATTACGTAATTATTTGGAGTTACGGAAGGGAAGTTACGAATTACGTAAAGTCGTAATTATTGCATTGGAACGAGCTTTCTTCAAAGCAGTCAATTTCGTCGATTGCGAAAAATGAAAGCTCAACGAGTAGAAGAAGTTAGAGTTCCGGTATTCGCAGCCGTTTTTCTCTCTCTTGTTACGTAGGTGAAGGAAGGCATGCCGCGTTGCCATTTACCAACCTATTATCAACTTATCTGGCGTGGCCAATGTAAATTATTAGTTAGTTAATGGGGGAAGAACTGAGTAGGGTCGTTTGACGTCAACACACCTGGTTTTAACTTCTCCCGCAACTAAACCATAGATAAGGGATAGAATTGTGTTAAGACCGATAGACGCTAACACGCCCGGTTTCAACTTCTTCGGGTGAAATGACTAATGGACGCAGGAGATCAATCTATCAAACATGGCCTATCAAACATTTGTATTCATTTTACTTTTATTTATTATTTACTTGTTCCAGTTTTCCGTTACTTATGGTATATATGTTCCGTTTCTATTTTATATTCACGCGTTTGAATAGTGGGAATTCCCCGCCAAGTGTGGATTAGCAGTGCTTAACCATTCTTTATTGTTAATATCAACACTTGATATATGAACATGGAATATCATATTGTTTTTGGCTGTTTCATTTCAGACTTGGGGTATAAACAGGAAAATATCCATAACCTTTCAACACGACGATCTTGTGAAATTTAACGAAGAGCTTTCGCGACGAATTGGAACCAAATAAGCAAAAAGAGCGATTGATCACTCGCGCCAATACCTCGCCGTGATAATTAATGTGCGCTTATCAAATAGCAATTTGACGACAAAAGAGAGATTGCGTAATGAACCAAAACGACGGATTCCTCGCGGACCGTTGAAAATCTAACTGCTATCATATATAATCAAATATGAGCCTGTGTGTTTATTCTGTGCGAGATCCATTTTCTATTACAAAATCTTGATGTTCTGTTAACGGTTTTATCTTATATATCAGTCCGGACTTGGCCTTGCTCATGATGTTTTCCACAATTCCTCTCAATATTTCGGCCATATATGATTAACTGTCTTACCAAATGCGGCAACTTATTTTGATTTATCGTCGACTTGAATACCACCGGCACTCGACCAAACTTTTGTCAATGTTGGCCGATAGGATCGCCGACTTGAGTTAGCAAATAAATGTTGTGAGTGTAAAATAAATGTCACAAAATGCATTGTTTTGCGATATAACTTTGTATTTTCGGAGAAGGCATGTCATATAAGTTCGATATTTAAATTATACGCAAATAAATAATATTTGATCTAAATTTATCGCAAATAATGTTATAAACATTCAGTCCGCGAAATGATTGAATGTAAAATGAAGCATGGTAATCGGAATATCGTCAATAAGTCGACATCAATAATTATTATTATAAAAATGCTAACAAGGCATTAATGTCGGATAATGCAGAAAACGCTGCAAAAACAAGTCTTCGTCGCGAGGAAATCGCAAGTATAATCAAATGAGAGAATACGCTCGTCGTTGGTTAATAAATTAGAAACCCGTAATTTTTATTCAGTACTAAGGTGGTTTTAAAAAACTATCGTTTCCATAAATATCCGTATACCAGTGTCGGTAATGATAAAATAAAATTGATCGCATAAAAATGGGACGGTTAATTTGCGAAGGTGATAAAGAAAAACCAAAGCTAACACAAAAGATAAAAATCAGAATAAAATTAATTTGAATTCACTCCTTGATAGTTGTTTTTAACATCTGCCGCCGGCGTGTAGTACTGCCAAGAATAGAAAAACCCAACTTCAATGTCCCATACGGAAAAAAAGTGGATTCAATGGGTTGTTACGATAGGTTTAAATGCGTGGAAAAATATCGCAATTACGGGGTCATTACGTAATTGATTTTGCCGTAATTACGGAATTGATTTTTGTCAATTACGTGCAAGCCTATGTCAGAGGATTGCTAGCCTCCTCGCCGTTGTAGGGTTGTTCTTCCTCCACCAGTCCATGCTTCGGAAAAACAAATACCTAACTAATCCCACAGGATAATGCGAGATAAGGGTAGGGATAAGGGTACTCCCGTGGTATGTGTACCAGGTTAGAGTTAGGCCCTAATTTATTTTGAGTTTTCTTATTTTAGTTCTATTACTAGTTTGGGGACTGTCTGTGTTATCCAAGTGAATATATCCCCTGCCCATAGGGTTTCAGTTCCTTTATACAACTTGATGTAAAGTTGGCGAAAAAAATTTGTTGCCCCATATTGGTACATATACTTCTAGAACGACAAGATAAGGGCTTTTAATATCTCGTAATAGCGAGAGGATTGCTAGACTCCTCGCCGCCGTTGGGTGATTCACGTAACCGCTGGTCGGTTACGGCTTCCTCCACCATCAAGTCCATGCTTCGGAAAAACAAATACCTAACTAATCCCATACCCGACATGGAATGGTAACTGGACGAAAGGCCGTGGTTCGTCATATGGTTAAGCCGTTTTATTGGCTTTCCTCTCCCCCGGGGTTAACTATAGAGTTGAGAACAAGACCACATTCAGTTTATTCCTCTTCAGGTATTCATATTGATCCACTTGGGACAAGCGCTTGGAATGCACTGGTACAAGGGCACAAGAGATGGTGTTTATTTCCGAATAAAACTCCAAAAGATATGGTTAAGGTAAAAGAAATGTGTTATTTTCCCTCTTTTTTTTCATAATTGGAGCGTAATATACCATTATAGTTCTATATAGATTTAAGGGTACTCCGGTAGTATATGTACTAAGTTGGGGTTAGGCTATAATTTTTTTTCTGCTTCAACTGGTTTAGTTCTATTATGAGTTAATTCACTCAACTTGATGTAAAATAAGTTACCTCCATATTGGTACACATACTTCTAGAGCGCCGACTGATGGTACGCATGATTTTTTTTTATTCTACATACAATTGGAAAAAAATTGCCTTGTGGAAGTTGAGTCTCATGTGTGTATTGCAAGGATGCTGCAGCAAGAGTAACGATGCTATTTGTTTCAAGAGTCTTGCTGCACACTAACACAAATGTATTCCTGTAACGTTTCTAGTTGAAAAATGCTTGTTTGAAGAAGTTTGACCCCGTCAGACGAAACGTTAGAGAAATACATTTGTGTTAGTGTGTAGCAAGACTCTTGTATCAAAAAGTATTAATAATAATACTTCTCTGTCCAAGGTTCGGAAATCGGAAGGAGGAAACCAGATGGACGAAGCAATAACCTGGTTTAACGTTGTTTATCCAAGAACGCAACGACCTGATTGGCCTGAGGAATATAAGCCGTTGGAGATTCTACAAAAACCAGGTATGCGATGGTCCAAAATCTGACATCTTACTCTTTTTCATATGCAGGCGAACTTTATGGGTCCCATGTTCTGGTCAAGCAATGTCACCCATTTGTGCATACATTTGCCTTTCTGCTTTCAGTAAAGGCTCACAAATAAAAATGAAAAAACTACTGATAGATGAGTTGCGAGAGACCATTAATATGCACTGTTAATATATTAATAGGGTGTCCATAAAGTCCCTTTATAATTTCAATTTTATTATGAAGCCAGTTCTCAATGTTCAAGTATTTTCATTTCATTTGATACTTCTGTGAGGGCTAAAGCAGTATATGGTTTCGATAAATTATTCCCTTTGCAATTTTGAACAATTTTAAGACTTTATTGACTCCAAATAAATAAAAATTGAATAGCTATAAAACTAGTCTAAAAAATAAATATACCCTATATTTATTTTCAGTCTTTGGTTTTATAGCTCTTCAATTATTCTTTATTTAGACCCATGTTGAATAATTTTAATTTTGCATCCTATACTATCATATTCTAGGGAGTTGTCCTTTTTTCATAGCACTGTACCTTAAATAGGGTGTTAGTTGCTTCCATATAGTATTTTATTACAAAAGATACTATCATGGATTTCAAAATTAATTTCTTACTTTTTAATTAATGACATAATTTCCAATACCATAGAAAATTAGGTACTCCCGTAGTGTATGACCAAGTTAGGTCATAAATATAATTTCATTCAGATTTTTCTTTATTTTAGTTCTATTACGAGTTGAGAACTGTCGGTGTTAGCCAAGTGAATATCCCCCTGCACATAGGTTTCAGTCCCTTTACACAAATTAGTGACCTCCATATTGGCAGCGCTGGAGCGCCCTAATTCCAGACTGATCTTTCCATTTTATGTTACATACGGGGCAGAACAATATCTCATATGTCATTATGGTAAACACAAAAGATGTTGGTAATAAAGAAAAGCTTTAAAGTGAACATTCGAAAATGTCGAAAGAGTGAAAATTCGAAATGTTTTAGGTGTCTATATTTGTGGAAATAATTTTTTATTTTTCTTGCATGAAAAAGTTAATGGGCCTCAGAATCTCTCTGCAACAAAGGTAGGAAGAAAAAAAATTGGTAACTACTGGACTCTACAATAAAAGTAAATTTCATTTTTTTTTCAGGTGAAACAGTGTTTGTACCAGGAGGATGGTGGCATTTAGTTCTGAATCTCGACACAACAATAGCAGTTACGCAAAACTTTGCAAGTGTTACGAATATCCCGCTCGTCTGGGCTAAAACTGTGAAAGGGAGACCAAAGTTATCTCATAAATGGATAAGGTATGTGTTTTGGGTTGTTAAGGTAATCTGCTCGAAGGATCACACGTACGCACTCAGAAGTAAAGGAGATGGATCTCTGGACGAAGTTACAGGCGATCACTTGATCGCCATGAGCTACTGAGACTATTGGTTCCCATCCTTTCATGGCTCATGGCCCTCTTGGAGAGTGACTTGTGGGAGAATGGTTATGCCGCGCCAAATAGAAGTGCTTGCATCGTTTAGTGAACATGAGCCTTTATTTGTATATATGATTTTTGGTGACCGTACATTTGAACCCACGTACATTTGAACCCATGTGTATATCTACGGGTTCAATCTATATGCGGGTGCTAAAACCCATGGGTTAGGGTTAGTGTGGGTTCAACTATCCGAAAAACAAAAAAACCCATAGGTGCAATAGCATACAGATGCAATTGCCATGGGTTCAAATGTACGTGGGTTCAAATGTAATGGAACCATGATTTTTATATGTGTTTTTGGTTGACAAATCAATACATCTATCGAGTGTTTTTACTAAATTCTGAATCGTGTCAGGGAAAATGAACAGTAGCATATTCCATTGCGACTGTAACATTTCTGTATATATTCTCAGTTACTTAAACAGTTACATTTATATTTTTAGAATTCTTCGGAAAGAGCGTCCGGAAGTCGCTGAAATTATCGATAAACAAAACTTGAATGACGCAAATTTGATAAATTCTGACAGTAGCAGTGATTCTTCATCAAGCAGTAGCAACTCTTCATGTTCCTCGTCAGGTGAGGATTTACAATATTTTGTTTGTATTGCGTGATATTTTTAATGTTGAATGAAATTGCGCAACAGTTGGTTAATGTTGTGTAATAGCCAGGAAGTATTGAGCAATGATTGGTAGATATTGCACAATAGTTGGTTCACGATTAGTATTTACTAATAAGCATTGCGCAATGTTTGGTGGGTATTGTGCAATAGTTGGTTATCATTGCGTAATAACTAGAAGGTATTGTGCAATGATTATTAGGTATTGCGCAATAGTTAGTGAAATATAACAGCAGTGATTCTTTATCAAGCAGTAATATTACGTAATAATTGAGAAATATTGCGCAATGATTGGCAGGTATTGCACAACAGTTGGTGAATGTTGTTAATTATTGTGTAATATCTAATAAGCATTGCGCAATGATTGGTGTGTATTTTTTTAAATTTCTTTTTTCCTCTGCAGAAGATGAATCAGAATCGCCTCCAAGGGAACCACGGCACAAAGCAATGGCTGAAAAAAGACCAAGATCGCAAGAGAATATCAGGTGAATAAATGTATTTAATCGTTATTCGACAATCGCAGACCAGGTATCTCATACATTAGTCTTTTAAACTGTAAAAAAATAATTTTTTTGAATCGACATCTTTGAATTTTGGACGTTCATGTTTCATGACAGACGTGATTAATTGATTGAAGTTTACAGTCAAACTGTTTCTACTAGTAATAGTGTCCAAAATATTTTGCCCGATTTCATAGTAAATACAATTAAAGTTTTTTTCTTTGTTTATTAAGAGTTTTCATTGTGCTTGTAGTTCTCATTCATCATACGATAAGAAAATTTTAAACTTACAATTATTATCACTATACAATTGGGCGGAATTTTTTGGGCATCCTCTGTAAGAGTAATCAGAGGTGCAGTGGCGAGTGTATTCCTAGCACTTGGCATGATGTGCTACACTGCTGAGCCTGGTAAAAATATGATAAGATACTCAGGTTTCAAGCTTGTAAGCATTGGGGTATTTGGTAGAGCAGAAAAGCGTGAAAAACCATGAAAAACCACCAAAAACCTTGCAACAACGTAAGCTTTTACTTTTCAGGCTAGAAGCCCCTGCATTCTAACATGGCTTATGTATGTGGTAATAAAGTTTGGCTGTGATTAGAACTGTAGGATATTATGTAGAGTTAAGATTGTGACATAAATATGTTTTCAATTCGCTGTTTTTTACAGGGGCGTCGCCAGAAATTTCCAAAGGGGGGAGGGGGATTCTGAAATTACTAATTGTCAAGTTAAACTGTATCAGCTATCGCAGGATTGGGCAACTTCTCTAGTCGGCGGGCCAGATGTGGGAAAATGAAGTTCTCAGCGGGCCGGATTATAACATGAATAGTATTCAATATCTCAATCACATATTTATTCGCTAATGCAAAAAAAAAAATTATAAATCGCGTTTAAAGTAACGTTTAAACTTTACAAAAAATAGAGACTAAAAAACACATAATGAATTTATCATAATGTACTAAAAGTGTATTAATGTAATATCATAATGTACTGATGTACAGTCAGCGGGCCGGATTATAACATGAATAGCATTCAATATCTTAATTACATATTTATTCGCTAATGTAAGAAAGAAAATTATAAATCGCGTTTAAAGTAAAGTTTAAACTTTACAAAAAATAGAGACCAAAAAACACATAATGAATTTATCATAATGTACTAAAAGTGTAATAATGTGATATCATAATGTACTGATGTACAGTCAGCAGGCGGGTCAAAATCTTGTCGTATGTTGCCCACCCCTGAGCTAGCGGGTAAGGCCAGAGACTGTAAAACGTGTGTTTTCAAGAGTTCGGAGGGTCTAAAAAAAGAGTTAATAGCTACAAAAAGTAGTATTATACAGTAAAATATTTTTTTTATATTTCAAATTAATATTCCTCAATCCCACTCATCTTTGGCTACGCCCCTGATTGCGACATATGTAAGTTTTTCTATTTGTTGTTCCTATAACTGACTTCTTATAACTGTAGTGATTAGTATTTGAATCAAATCAATCTGGATTACCTATTGAGTGTGCTTGGTTATTTTTGCTCTAAACAAAGGTTTGCCAACTCCCACCCTTGAGCCAGCGGTTTCGAAGGGGGAGCTAAACGATCTGCTAAGTCTGCCTCTGTTACATAACTGTTACGTAACAATAGAGGTAGAGACTACTTGCTGCAATTTTGCGAGCTGCAGTTTATCTGCTGAATCGAATTGAATATGGGTGATGTTTTTTAGTATCTCAAAAGAAAACAAGAGAGCTATGCTCAAATATATGGACACGTAGCGCCACCCAGTGGCAATAATTTTGATGACGTCATAGCGAAAAAAAAAAGTAATAGCTCTATGGAGAAAAATTTTATCTTTAACCACTGAAAATATCAAAGCAATTGTTCCAGTATTCGAAGAGAAAAGCGATTTTTTAAAAATGGAGACGGAGACGAATAACAATAACAATAACAACAAAATTTTGAAACGATCGTTATGGCCACTAAACGTGTCCAATAAGGCAAATATGAGAAAGAAGAGTTGACTGTTTGTCTTTATTCCTTAGGCCTACATGTTTACAAATTTTAAAAGGCATAAAGTGCACATTACTGATCACACAATTAAATTGAAGGTAACAAGTTTTGTGTAAGTGCACTTTGAAATTTAACCCTGATAATTTGCGCCACACGAACAAAAAGTTGGGAATTGTTGCTGTATTCATTGGTTCCGCCTGGTTTTCCCTAAATGATGGGCACCTTGCAGTGAGCAGACTTTTGTAAAAGATGCTGATTCAGAAACTTAATACCAAATTGCTTTAATTATGTTTCACCCTGACGTCATGTGCACAGTGTTAATGACGATATAAATTTTCTTGAAAATAAGTCTGTCTGGCGCGGAACGCTATTTGCTTCTGTCTGTTAAGATTTTCATTCCGCTCCAAACATACTTTTTGGACACGTAGCGGACATAACGATAGTTTCAAAATTTTGCTGTTGTTGTTATTATTATGTCCTGCTTTTTTAGAATCAAAATTTTTTTTTTTTATCTAGAACTTTGCCTTCTTACGGCGGAATCCTGATATAAGTATGATGGTTTTGTTACTAAACTAATCAAATATTCAAATCGAAATCAGTCATATTCGATTTTCAGATATTTGATTTTAGAAATTATCTACAATTGTCTTGTATGAAAAATTATAATTTTGGCTAATTGGAGTCATTATTAATATATCTGAAATTAGCGACACAGCCAGGAATTTTCAAACTGGACATGGAGAAGAGTTTTGTTTTCACAAATATTGACACAAATAATGTCAAGTCAGATTGCAGCAGGTAGCGGTTTTGGTCAAACTCTGAAATACATGAGCTTTTATAAGTCTTGAAAGTCTAAAAAGAGTTTCAAGCTACGACAGCTTTTTCTGTATAAGACAGAAGAATGCTTTTTTTACATTTTGAGGACCTTTCATACCTTGAACTCCTGCCCTGGGTATGCTTGTGTCTGAACCTCGGTTTGTAAGGTCTGGATAGATTCCATTACTAGAATAATATTTTACTGGTTCAAGATCGATCGATGTTGATGGGCATTTATCTATTAGTCTGTTGAGACACTTTCATATGTTATGCAATATCTCACGAAAGCGAGGTTGAATCTGCTCAAAATTTTTGCATGTACATTCATCATATCTCGGACCAGAAGCCTATTGATTTTGGAGAATTATGTCATATCATTTATTCATCAATTAATTAGTCATGGGACACGCGGTGTCATTACTGAGTCAGGGCGAAGGATAGACGTTGCTAGATCGCTAAATCGGCGGTCTCTGATCGCTATCCTGTTACATCTTATAGGTTTTTCATTTAGATTTCTGGTTTGTTTTTATTGGACTTTTTAGCTCTTTTTTTGATTTCATAGAATATTGCCTGACTCCCACTAAATAGTGACTAAATACTAACTAGATGACTCTTTGAGTCATTCGCAACCCCTCATCAACTGCAACAAGCGGTATCCGTTTTTGTAAATTGTTACATTTGTTTATTCCATATTGTATATTGGTTCTGCGACAAAAATAAATATCTAAATCTGATTTTTTTTTCCACCAACTTACTAAAATCTTTGATTCTTATTATTATCTACAGTGGCAAGCCTCCATATTTCTGCCCAAACATGTATGCAAGGTATATTGTGACTCGAGACAGCAACAATTTAGCTTATGACTTGGGAGTGTCGTGTAGTGACGCGCATTCAAAAATTTACTGTTTTTTTTAACTTTATACTCTTAACTAAGGGTGAAATTACTTGTACAATGCATCTTCTATTGCTGCTTATTCATCTTCAACATTTTCATTTACAGTGGCAAAAGACCATGCTTCAACCCAAACAATCGTCACGTATTGAACTCTGACTACAATTATGAGAATTCTCAAGAAACAAGATAACGGGCTTTTCAGAAGTAGTCGTCCTAACTTCGACCCTCTTCAAGTTTCATTTTTTGAACTTTTTCATCATGAATTCGTTTAGTCTTGTGTTATTTTCAAGAAGATAGCAGCTTTTATTCAAAGTAGTAGTCTTTATGATAAACTTTTTGAGTTGAAAACTTTTCTCATCTTGCGTTAAACCTTCTCGCGATAACAATCACTTTTCATAAGCAGATGAGAGAGATTAAGCTATCTTATAAGATAATTTTTTGAACTCTCGCGTTATGAATTTAGCCTAGTACGGCTGCTCAAAAAAAGTTGACGGCCATTTTCGGATGCATTTGAGCTTCAACAAGATAACGTACCCCTTAGAAGTATTCATTCTAACTACAGATCTCTCATAAGATAGATTTTTTGAATCTTTCCCATCATCAATTTGTTTGGTTTTGTGTAATATTCAATCGCAGCTTTTTTTAAAACTAGTTGTCCCAACTCCAAATTATTTTTTTTTTTATAAATCTCTCTTGTCTTGCATTAAGCCGTCTTGCAATAACAATCCCCTTTCAGAAGTAGCTGTTCTAACTCCCAATTTTAGCTCACTCATAAAATAATTTTTTCGAACTTTTTCATCATCAATTTAGTCTGGTATGACTGCTTACAAAAAGATGATGGCTGATTTCAGATGCCTTCAAGCTTCAACCCCTTTAAAATAATTGTATGAACGAGTTTTGAATTACTCTATCACGAACTAGAACTTTTTACCCTTCAGATCATGCAAAAAATATTAGAGCCTTTTCACACACATGTCGAGTATTGATTACTTGCTGAACTTAACTGCCTGTGACAAAGCCATTTTTAGAAGTTTTCAGTTCAATTCTCAAGATAATTTTTTTCAATTATGAACTGCTTCAGGTACTCCCGTAGTATGTGCAACAAGATGGCAGACACCGGAACAGAGTATGTGTATCAGGTTACCATAATTTCAGGTACAAATACTACGGGAGTCACTTGGCTAGTCCCCGAACTCTTAATAGAACTAAAATAAGAAAAGTTGGAATAAAATTATGGCTTAATCCTAACTAGGTGTCCGCCATCTCCTACTCCCTATTCTACGCCCTGTGAAACCTTTATGTGTGTATTCATTCCTATTTCAACTCATTTTCCTGAGATAAAACTTTGTAATCTTAGTGTTTTTTTACCTATTGCTGAACTTGACCGCATGTGACACAGCCATTTTCAGATGTTTTCATGCATAGTTCAATTCTTAAGTTGATTTTTTTAAGTTGTGAACTTACTGTATATCTCCACATATTAACTGATCTCATATATAAGCCTACCCTAAATGGCCCTAAACAAAATTTTAATAAACACTCAGATTTTTAGTGTGATGACCCATTAGTTTATACCAAACTTGGCTTATATGCAAGTATATATGGTACTTCGTTATGAAACAGCAAACATTCTAGAAGTAGTCACCTTGACTTAAATTGTCTTTTAGCATATTTTTTTAACTCTTTCTGTCATGAATTTAGCCTCGTGTGAAATTCTCAAACAATTCGACAATATCACAGCCATTTTTAAGTGTGTTCATGCTTCTTTCAACCTTTTTGTTATAATAATATTGGGTGTCCATAAAGTCTCTTCGCAATTTTGTTATGAAGTCAATTCTCAATATATCTTAACCAGGTTTGTTGTTTTTTAATCAGTACTTGTTTAGGTATTTTTACTTCATTTAATACATCTATGAAGGATAAAACAATATATGGTATCGATGAATTTTCTTCGCAATTTTATTTGAAAAAATTTCAAATCTTCACGGGCATCTTATATAACTGAATTTGGCATTTTTTCATCCTTGATTTAGTCTAGTATTCTAGACTGCGTGTGACCAATCACAGCCATTTTCTCATGTTTTCTTCCATTCAAATTTTTTGAGTAAAATTTTTGCACTTTTCATCATGAATTTAGCAATGCTAGTCCTCAAATTCATTGCCATTTGATATGAGTCTCATGAACTTTGAACTCTGAATCTTTCACCCACCAGGAAGTCAGATATAATAATCATGGACAAGAGCACAAAATAACCACTGTTTTCAAAAGTTCATTTCATCTTGGATAAATTATGAATATTGTACTGTGATTTCCCATCATGAATACAGTGTTGTTATCATACAAGATGCCATCCTAGTAAGAGAAAAAATTTTTCAAAAAAGTTCAATGAGAGGTACTTGTTTGCTGTAACAATTTATAATGCTATAACAATCTAATTCTCTAACAACCATAAATATTAGGGTACTTTTTTCACCCCCTTATGCGTGCCGTGGCAGACAAATTCTATTATAATAAAAAATCCTGTCCTGCTATACACTCTAGTAATCTTCTAAAATTGACTTCACCTGAAATATACTCAATTTCTTAATTCTGAATAATTATAGTTGCACTAAATCGAATTATCTTCTAATATAACCAACTCTTTTAATTTGAGAAACTTACTGGTTTATTAACCTTATGTTTTTATTATGAGCTAAAAGAACTATCAATGGCAAGATTACCATCCAAGCTAGTAGAATGAATGAATGAGAACTGCTCAAAATGTTGTGTCCTTCTGAACCTTCTGTCAAAGTTTTATGATGGGTGACATGAAAAAAAAGAACCCAATAAATTTTTCAACTTCTACAAAAATGGAGGAATTTATTTAATTTTGTCTACAATCAAATTTCTGTTTGTGATTGTGCTTTGCATGAAAGTCATATTCTCTCTAAAATAAGTTTCAAATTATTTACATTTTTGCAGAAGTAATTGAAAAATTTATGGGTTCCGTTTTTATTTTGGTCACCATGTATCTGGCCACCCGAGGGATATCGTTGATCCCCTTTTTATAACATGATTTGACCTGCGAAGTATATCTGTCTTAACTGCACGCAGTAGGACACGATGACAAGAGAGACACTGGAATAAACGACTGTGGACATTTTCAAACGATTTTCAATTGCTTATTTTGGATAGAATGTAAACTCGTTAACAAGACTATCGTTCTAGTAAAATAGATTACGTTTACCGGTAATTATCATTCATAGGTTCAGCATATGTTGCGGTTTCACTTTTGTGTTTTAATATGCATTTGAATATGTTCGCTACTCCCAGCATGACCTGTGTTACTCGGAATAAGTTGTTCAAGTTTCCAATCTGGCAAAAATCTAAAAAAGGCTCTTCCATCTTCTCCAAGTCTTGGGCACATTTGTATAGAGGTGATCCTTTCAATATTTCTTTACAATTGTCTTTATTCCCAGAAATAAGGTTAAGGTTGAACTTTTTTGAACTTTCAGTTGGAGTCTATATTTTTGTCTGTTTATTAGAATGACCAGATGTTTTCTTGTGAATTTGAAGTGAAATTTCAAACAAAAAAGGGAGCTATTTATTTGATTATTGAAAGTTATTTGATTATTCCGCAGCGTGAAAGTCTCTATCTCTCTCATAACTGGTCGAATATCTGGTGAAACGTTACATAGGCTTTCCTCTCTTGTGTCCCAATCAGTTTGCATTCTGTAATTCCTTTTGTAAATATTTACTTCTGATGATTTTAATTGTTCTTTCAACTCACTGCTTGTTTCTTTCCTGCAATAAATTATAAAAAATGGAATTGAATTTTTTTGTTTTCCTAAAAGGGGGTTCGCGAATACTGCACTGGGGGTCCCATCGATATGAAAATAGTATATTTGATCTTTAATGATTGATTTCAATTAGAAAGTTATTGCGTCTTTTTGGTTAGGCGTTGCAGATGAATATCCATTGCTGTCAGAAAACTGCATACAAGTGTGAGGCAGTATTTTCAGCTCTCACCGATATGACAACATAATACAGATCGAGACTTTGAGGTCCATCAAAAGTATGATTCACGAACGGAGCCACGGCCCAAAAAGTTTGGGAAACCCTGAATTGTAGTAGTTTGACTCTGAACAAGTGTCTATTATTACATAGAATTTTTAGAAGAAAGACTTTCAATGTTTTTATCGTCTTTTATGCTGAATATGGAGCCGAAACACTTCTTACACACTGGAAAGGGGAATTCGCCGGATATAAGATTTCAAGAGGAAGGTGGATAAGACAGTTTAATCATATGGAGAACCACGGCATTTTGTTCACTCACCTTTTCATGGTAGCAAAGGGTTAATAGTCTGGGAAACCCTGAATTGTAGTAGTTTGATTCTGAACAATGTTCTGTAGAAGTGCCTATTGGGCAGTAATGAGGTAATTTTTGAAAGACCTGAAACAATTCTGTTTGACTATGTAACTTATTACACACAGGAAACGAGAATTCGCTGGGTATGGGATAACATATTCATATATATCTCAGAAGAGTAAAGGTGATGAAACAATTTATCATATGGCAAACCATGGCCAGTTGTCCCAGTCGTCTGCTAACCAGTTCATGTCAGGAATTGTTGATTAGTCTTAATTACTAAAGTAAAATACCAATTACAATACTAATCAATTACTGATATGTTGTAATCTCTTTGGTTTATCACAGCTTCCTTATTGGAAATAAAAAACAAGACTCACAGCGCACTCAACATTAATGTTGTGTTATGATATAGGACTGGACGCTTCGAATTGAGAAGTAAATTGTTCAAATTGCCGCCATTTCTTTTTTTCTCTAATTTAGTCTCTAATCACTTTGGTAACCACATTCAACATCAAAACATGAGTCATACAGCAATGAAGTTTATTTCCAAAAGGCAAAATAATAAACAGTTATAAGCAATCGAAAATGAAAATTTGTCAGCCAGTAATATATTATAGAGCACACACGAAGGCAGTGATAATTATATATATACATATTTGGGGCATTTTGCTACTGACACCATCAGAAAGGGTATGTAATAAAAGATACTTATTCAGCAATCACAGGTATACAGTACGGCATTCCTTAAAATGTGCTCTCGTATTATTCGTATAAAGATGGCGCACAACCTGCAACCCCTAACTGGTACACATACTATGTTCAGGTTGTGCGCCATCTTGGTACGAATACTAAGGGAGCACCCTTAAGGTAACTCAGTACCAGTATTGGTATTTGTCTTCAATCAAAGAGGACCGAATATCTATCAGAGTAGGGTACAAGAAATGTTATAAATATACGAAGAGGAGCGAGGAAAGATGATAAGATTGTTATAACGTATGGTCAATCTTGACCTTTGATCTCATTTAATGCTAATTTCAGCTGGGCAACATGACGCAGGGTTATATAACGATTCTAGGCAGATAAACGATAGGTTTTATATCATAACAAAACACTACAATAAAATCAAAATGATTACGATTCAGGAACAAACATGATTAATAAAATAAACAATATAAAATATGCGAGTCAGGCAACATAAAGTAGGTTTTTTATATTATTCTGGCAAGGAAGTCGTTCAGAAGAATTTAAAGTTTAGATTTAACTAAGGGGATCATCATTTGAAAGATTAAAACTTCAAAAATGAGGAGTACAATATTTATCATGCTTCAGCTATGGCAATTATTTTTGTGAAGCAGCAACAATTTTTTTGCAAGTTGGACATATGGCGAGATGAAAGCAAGAACAAGCAGGTGAATGCAATAAAAATAATGAAGATATTAAAAACCTGGTTCCCATTGAAAAATAAAAATATTGCAAAATTTTGGTAAAATATCAGATCTCGTAAGATTCATAGAAAATTTAATTTAGGAATGTATACGAGTTATTGGAGCCTTTTAGCAAAAAATACAATTTGTAACCACTAAAAATTTCAAAGCAACTAATCCATTAGTGAATGAGAAAAACGATTTTTCCATAACAACAACAACATAATAACAAAACGATCCATAGGTCTACTTCGTGTTCAATAATCAATAGAAGAATATGTGATTTGGAGTGACATAGTTATTCTAGGCAAAGTAAAGATGATAAATTTAGTCTTATGCTAAAGCACTGTCGCTGCTCATTTAGAAGTCAGGAATGAATATATGAACTTAATCAGCATGTGAATTTCCTCCTCGATGGAGAGCTATTGAGCTGTCATGTAGATAGTGGGTTAGGGTTAAAAATGGGGGTGAATATATGTTCCCGATCACCATTTAAATGAATGATCTCCCTTCAGAATTCAATTGGACTGCCATAGGATACTAGGTTAGGAACAGGGAAGAATATAAGCCTCGGTTGCAATTTGAATGAACTTTGTCAAGGGCTATTGCCGTTGGGCTGTCATGTGAATATTGGGATCATGTGAATTGTCATTTGAATGGCCTCTGCTGTAGATGCCATATATACAGCAGGTTAGGAATGGATGTCCATTCTCTATTTGAATAGTATTAGGCTTCCTTGTAGACAACATGTTAGTAGGGACGAATGTAAAGTCCCAATCGCCATTTGAATGACCTCATTGGTAGATGATAATTGGGTTGCCATATAGACCGTTGAAACCTCTACATGCTTCAAATAATATTCTTTGAAAGTGCTATTGGACTTACATATTGATAATTAGGAATAGACAGGAACTGCCATATAGACAGTAGCAATATAGATAGTTAACTAGTTCAACAATGTAAGAGGGAGAATAATTATGGACGCAGTGGCAAGAAAAAAAACTTAACCTGTTCATAATTGTAATCAAGCATTGCATGATAAAAAGCAGCTTTTCAGTTACCTTGGAGAAAAAAAATATGGCTGCAACAAAACGTCCTAATGAGCACAATTCAAAGCGAGTCAATGGTTAATGCGATAAAAATAGGCAATAATAAAATGTGTGTTGGTCAAGCAATGAGCTGGAACATCTCTTCTTGTTTGTTAAATCTATAGATAGCACATCCAGATTTCAACAATTTCAGAAAAGGCAAGATTTCAGAAAATTCTAAAAGAGCTCTGTAATTTGCTTCAAGCAAAGAAATAAAATATTTACAATACATAAACGCAATTAGGCAATAAAAATAAAAAAAGAGTGAAAAGGTAATAAAGAATGAGCAAGCTGGAATAACACCTGTCTGCTAACACTTTATGATCAAACACTTAGAGTTTGTGTACATCGTTTTGTGTGAGATTAAAAAATTGGAAAACTGACGAATGAATGATGTTTCATAATTTTTTTCCGGAAGAATAAAAGTCAATTGAATATTTTTTTCCTAATAATTGATATCGACAAACATAAATATGATAATATCATTAAAAAGATAAAACAAGTTTTCCCATGCATTTATCAACAGCCTATAAAGTGGTCGTATCTTTCATAAATCACACAGGATGTCCATAAAGTCCTAAAATTGCAAAGGAATTTATCGACACCATATATTGTTTTGGCCCTCACCGATGTATTAAATGAAGTAAAAATACTCAAACAATTACTGATTAAAAAACAACAGACCTGGTTAAGATATATTAAGAACCGACTTCAACACAAAATTGAAATTGTAAAGAGACTTTATGGACACCCTGTACTACCAACTTCAGACTGTCACCTGCTTACCGTGTATATGTTTCTAGCACACCGAGGACTGGTATTGAATTCGTAAAAATATCAAGATTTAGTGAATTTCTAGAGCACCGGTACCAGTTGCCATTACTAGGTAGGTCACAGAAACATTTTCAAACCTAAAAATTGTCGAGTTATTGAAAAACTTATTTAATAAACGGTAGTAGTAATGAATGACGAAGTTGTTTTGCTACAGGGTGGCATTTATCATTCCAATCATTGGAGTGAATGTGGATTTTTTTGCTGTAAAAAATTTTCTTGTAGTTTCTCTCTCGCATGAGAAAATTATTGGACCACAGTATTTTTGTGCAACGAAAATGGGGCGCAGAAGAAAAAATGTTGAGAACCACTGCCTCTCGTCCAGTTATCAGTCCTTGACATATATGGGATTAGTTAGCCAGCTATTTGCTTTCAGAAGCATGGACTTCAATGGCCTCTGAACATTTCATTAAACGGCAGATTTGGGCAAACGTATCGGCAATGAATATTATCTTCAATGGCATCATTCAGACGGTTCTTCAAAAACTCGACAATATCAGGGTACTCCTGTTCTTGTGCATTGAGATCTTGAATAACATTATGAACTAACTTCAACCTTGCATTGTAATTTGTTGTATCTTGAGCAGCTTGTTCAGGATCCCCCTGTAAAAAATGATGATATTTTTAGTTTTTGTTTTCTCAAATTTCTAAGCAAACAAGCAGCCACTAATACAGGGGTTCCCAAACCAGGGGTCGCGACCCCAAATTGGGTCGGAGTGATAAGTAGGTAGGGTCGTAAACAGGTCGTGGGGTCGCTGAGGTATGATAGAGGATGGATGTACAAAACATCTAAGATTTGACAAACCGTGTTAAATTTAGCAGTTTGTACCATGGCTTACTGTAAAACAGGCCCATAGGCATCGCTCTATGCTTATGCTATAGAAAATGTAGGTGCTTATTGTGACATCATTGTTTGGTTTTAGCTTATTTTACTTAATACCACCACATGACCAAACTCAAAAGTCCAGTGAAAGAAGCTCTAAAGTTTCATGAAAATATATATATATCGACCTGGGGTCACACTGGACACTTGAAAGTTGTCTTTGGGTTCGTCCTGGAAAAAGCTTGGGAACCCCTGTACTAATACCTAGGAACGGGGACGGCCGAGATGGGGCCCTATGTGAATAGATTGCATCGGGCCCTTTCTGGGTAAAAATATGGATAGTAACTAAAAATTGAGTTTTTGTGATAGAAAACGGATTTGTGTTTAAATTTGGTTTTGTTTTTTTGAATTACAAAATCATGATCAAAGTAACTTTACTTTGCAAACCTTTAGTATGCAAAATAAAGACACTAAATTAGAAATGATTTACTCTGGACTCAGTGTGGGGCCTATGGTACATGGACCACTGCCGCTACATAGGTTACAGTGCTGACAATGTGTAAGAAATTGTTTTATTGTGTTATTTGACTGTTTTTGGTGGACGGGCTCGTATTTTCACGTTTTTAACTTTTCTTTAAGTTATGCCCGTCCTCCAGGTCCTCTGTGTTTTGTGTTTGTTCGTTTGTTATTGTTTTTGTTTCGTTTTATACCAGAGCGACCGAAATAAAATCGATTGATTGATTGATTGAATCAACTATTGTTGGAAAGACCAGGCCTTTTTCAGTTCGACATTCCCTACCCAATTTATTACACCCAGAGTGTGGTGACAGATCTTTGATTCCGCTACAGTTTGTTCCAAAATTCTAACACAACAATTTAACTACCTTTTGGGATTATAAGTAAATTTATTTTGATCTCCATCAGCATAACAGATTGACAAAAATCAATTGCGGTGAAATGAAACAACAGCACTTGAAGTGTTTCAGAGGATTTGGTTCAGGTAGACTTTTATGTTTATTATTTAAACTGAAAATGACAAAGTGGAATTTACAACAGGATCAATGACAAAGAGGTTTTCGACATTGAACAACTGAATCACAAAGAAGTAATAACATTATCAATCAATCAATCATCATTTATTCGTCAACACAATTTAAACATGGTACGATATATAAAAAAATAATTACAAATACAAGTGGAAACTAACTTAAATTGTGTGACAAGAGTCGCGAGGGACCTCAAGAGGTCTTCAGGCAGCGACACCTAAAACGCTTGTTGATTCAGGTTAATAGCTTAAAAAGTTAATGAAACACCAAAACATTTCAAAATAAATATTTTGAATAATTGACAAAAACAAATAAATAAAGCTGGTCATAGAATCGGGAGATTTTGTACAGAATTTAAAGTAGACATGACGGTGGTTCACATTCACTCACATAGAAGTATTATAAAATTAATCCACACACAATTACACGTAAACACAAACACATAGCTGGTTTTTTCAATTTTTATTTAAGCCGAGCAGGTAAGTCAGAATTTCGTGTCTTTTCTGATGGGGAAGGAAAGATGATAAGACATTAATCGGGGCTCCCGAAGTATGCGAACCAAGATGGCGGACATCGGAATGTAATATGTGTACTAGGTTAGGGTTAGGCCATAATTTTAGTTATAAATACTACGGGAGGCTCTTGGCTAGTCTTCGAACTGATAATAAGACTAAAATAAGGAAAATTGGAAAAAAATTATCGCCTAACCCTAACCTGTTACCCGTGTTACGTTCCGATGTCCGCCATCTTGGTTCGCATACTTCGGGAGCACCCATTAATCATATGGCATAGCACGGGCTTTCATCCGATTACCAGCCCATGTCAAGTATGGTAATACCTAATCAGTTATTTGGTTCACATGTTTGGACTTGATAGTGGAGGAAGCTGTAACCGACAATGAGGAATTACACAATGTTCTTGGACATGATTATACAATAAACATTAATTTAAAAAGATAGTGTAATTGAAAAAGAAAAAAACACTTACAAGGATACGATAATGTCTGACAATTATGCAGGTTGCCTTTACTGCTAGTGAGTATCCTCCTAAAACATAAAAGAATTATTTTATTACTGGTAAATGCTTGAGGAGAGAGTGTCTTAAGAGTGGCACATTGAAGAACATTGTTGGGTTAAAATGATGGATGCTGAAACGGAGGATGATTGTATGTTAGAGCAGGGTTTCCCAAACTGGAGTCCGCGCGGCGGTGTGGCTCAATGGGCTAAGTGTTAGGAATACGCTCGCCACCGCACCTCTAACTACTCTGCGTGGGTTCGCAGGTTCGAATCCCATGCAGGGATGGTTATGTGCGAGAGGATTACTGGACTCCTCGTCGTCGTTGGGTGGTTCACGTAACCGCTGGTCGGTTACGGCTTCCTCCACCACCAAGTCCATGCTTCCGAAAAACCAAACAATACAGTAAATCTAATCCCATACCCGACTTGGAATGGTAACCGGACGAGAGGCCGTGGTTCGCCATATGGATAAGCCGTCTTATCGGCTTTCCTCTCTCCCGGGATAAATATGTAAATCCTATCCTATCCTAAATAGATCAAAATCTTATCGAATTTCCATTAGCTGCCAGTATTTAACGTTAGTACGTATCGATGAGTTTTATTTTGTCGCAGGAAACATTATCTTCCTCATTGGCGAGGCACAGAAACTGATACAGGATAGGATAGGATTTACATATTTATCCCGGGGGAGAGGAAAGCCGATAAGACGGCTTATCCATATGGCGAACCACGGCCTCTCGTCCGGTTACCATTCCAAGTCGGGTATGGGATTAGTTATATTGTTTGTTTTCGGAAGCATGGACTTGGTGGTGGAGGAAGCCGTAACCGACCAGCGGTTACGTGAACCACCCAACGACGGCGATGAGTCCAGCAATCCTCTCGCACATAACCATCCCTGCATGGGATTCGAACCTGCGAACCCACGCAGAGTAATTAGAGGTGCGGTGGCGAGCGTATTCCTAACGCTTAGCCCGTTGAGCTACACCGCCGCGCCAGCATAGGATGGGGGTCCGTCAAAAATAAGATTCACGAATAGTGGTCTACAGACGAAAAAGTTTAGAAAACCCTGTGATAGTGGATTGATATATTGTCAAAAGGTAGTCGAATAATCTCTGGTATGGTATGGTTTCTTTAAGATCATATTATATCCAAAATTATTGGCTTGTTAGCTATTCTTATATCATTTGAGTAGGGAACTTAAAAGTCACCTTCCGACATGAACGGACACGGGTCAAAGGTTACTATATTACAATATCATTTGAGCTGTATCAGAGACATTGGTTCACCATATAATTAGCATTCATTTAATAAATGAAGGAAACTTTTATTCTCTGTCAGTTTTATAAATCAATCTTGAATTAAACTAATTTGATGCAGGACTTCTCGTCATCGAGCTGCGGCTTCCGCCACCATCTGAGACAAAATGACTGGCCAACTAATGAATGACATACCCACCTGAATGGATAACCGGACAAGCGGTCTCATCATATGACTGAGCCTTTGATTATATTGATAAATATGAAAATCCTATCCTCCTACCCTTATTATTAATAATTATACAAAATTTACACCTACTGCATGTTTCTTTGCGCATGTTTTCAGGCAGACAAAAAATGAACTCTCTCAAATCATTGAGATAGGATTTCCATATTCTCCATGAGGGTGAGAGGAAATTCAATGAGACTGCCTGATTATACAGTGTACCACGGCCTCTTGTCCAATTACCAGTCCCCAATGAGATTCGGCCCCTCACAAGGTAATCAGAGGTGCGATGCGAGCGTATTCCCAATGCTTATTGCGATACAGCAACCAAAATAGTAACGGTCACCTTGATCAGCTTTTCCTTCACTGAGTCTGATAAGGTAATTTCCAATTCCAGCATTTCTCAGATAGTCTTCTGCTTCCTCTTGTGTTATCTTGCCAGCGAATGGACTGAGAAATATTTTCAACATATTTATGATGGAAGCAATATATTTTTAGGCCACGATCGTTGGCAAATTATATTATTGATACAAATTGGCAAAAACAAGTAGAGGAAGCTAAGACCATATACCCCTTCAGGCCAGTGGTTCTTAAAGTTGATTAACCGTGTGAGGGGAGCGCCAACAGGGTGTCGATACCGATATCGGTACGTATACCGTATTTGCTCGTTTTGTTGCCAGGGCCCATATTTTTTTCAACCAACTCACTAACCGGGCTCTTATTCAAACCGGCCCTTATTCAAGCTTGGGTGCTTGTTATTTTCGATCATTACAATAATTAATATATTGTTATTTCCAGTTCTCAAGTATGATTTAAACGAGAATAACGAAAATTTTGACTTTTTCTACGCACCGCATGTACAAATTCACAAAAGCTTTTGGGCGTCGCAATGTCCAGTTTGAGAACTATGGTGTTACGTAATCTATGCTATCTGTTATGTACTTGGATGCCTAAGGCGTGAGTATTACCTACCGGCGCCCAAAATTCAACAGCGTTGTGACAAAATCGCTTCTTATTTCCTATTGTTCTCTACCACTGAAAAATCAGCTTTTACATCGGGCGGGTATTCAAGCACCGGCCTTTATTTAATTTTATGTTCTGTTCACACGGGCGGCTATTCAAACGGGCCCTTAAAACGAGCATATACGGTAATTAGGATACCAGTATAAATGAATTGTTACAAATAAACACATGCTTAAACTGTGTGATAATGACATTAAATCGTTACACATGCCGTAATGGGCCCGTGTGCCCCGATCTGGGAACCACTGCTTTAGGCGCATCTTCTGCACTGTAATGAATGGCATTGCTTACTTTACAATATGTACCCTTGGAAGAAAACATAAAGCAAGTTCATTTTCAATGTAGGCTTTCCTCAGAGATAATATGAAAAAAAATCTATGAAATTTCAATAGATTACCTGACACTTTGCCCTTCTTGGTCGAGTGTGTATGACATTAATTTTTGCGTCTGAAAAATGGAGAAAAGATATAATATTTCACATGGAGCATTTGACAGTCAGGTAAGCAGTTAAACCGTTAGACTAAACTGTTTTGATATCACATATTACATGATAGGATAGAATTCACACATTTATCCAAGGGGAGAAAAAAGCAGACTCAATCATATGGCGAACGGCCACGACCTCTTGTCTAATTATCAGTCCATGTCGGGTGTGGAATGTGTTAGCCAGTTATTTGTTTTCGAAAGCATGGACTTTATGGTGGTGGAGGCCGTAACCAACCTGTGGTAACGTGAACCACCCTATTGCGGCGAAAATTCAACCATTCCTTTCGTACATAACTATCCCTACATGAGATTCGAACCCGCCAATCCACGCAGGGCAATCAGAAGCGCGGTGACAAATGTACTGCATTTTTACCTGTCTCAAGAATGTGCAACTATCCCCAACTCTGGTCAATGATCCGAACCATTTTGTCTGCTGAATGAACATTCGTATTCTTACAGGAATATCTTCTGCAAATAGTAAAGAATGTTTATCGTTAGGGCATGTTTCTGAGTTGCTGTTTACCAATTATTACCTGCTTCAGCATGTACTAACTCGGACGATTGGCGAGTGTTGTTTGGGGTTCAGAACACACTTTGAATGCAGCCGCTTATTGTCACCTGTATTTTTTTGTTTTTCTGGCAACTAACATTTTCCCAGATGGCTGATCATGACCTGTGATGTCATCAGTCACAGTTGACTGACCAGGTGAAGTAGCCATGTACTTGAGGGCTCATTCCTGTTGATGTCTTGGGGGTTACTTTGGTTATGTTTATGGGCATTTACTAATTATATATTTATACTGAGTTCACATTACTACTATGCATGGCTTGACATGTTTGAATCCTGTGGGTGATAATTATGCGCCAAAAAATTGCTAGGCGCCCCGATGTCTCTGGGTAGTTTACTTAATCACTGATCGGTTGAGGGTGTCCATACATATAAAACAATATTAACTCAATGTTCCCCAGGAGAAATTATATTGTTTTCGGGAAGAAATTTTGCTCTGTTTTTGTATTTGTTGTAGTCTACTAATATTCTTTGGTTCTTTATTATTATTATTATGAAACTTATGTATGCACACAATAAAAACGATACACCCGAAGTATGTGAAATACTACGGGAGTCACATGGCTAGCCCCCGAACTCATAATAGAACTAAAATAAGGAAAATTGGAATAAAATTATGACGCATAGTACTGTTCAATTTCCCTATATGGGTAGCCACATGCCCCTAATTAGGAACCGCTGCATTAACCCTTTCCATGCGATTTTTATTTTTTATAAAATAATCGTATTTGCTACGCCGACTTTATGCATTTGTGCCCCCACAACTAATCGATCAAATAACGAAAAAGTATTGATCCTCTGCTGCCCACTGACGGCTCGTTGGAAAGCTTATTTAAAGAGCTTGCAATTGGCAATTAAAAAAAATTTTTTTTTAAAAGGGGTGGTCTGAGTCACAAACCGGATAGAAAAAAGGCATTTTTTTTCTTGGGTGTTGAAACTTCAAACCGTGATAAAAAATAGAAATATTCGCTAAATCCTTTACTGTTACTGCTTCTTGGTTGGCAAACAATAGCATAATATTACTGTAGCAATTTCGTTATCTAACTCAAAATACTTTGGTAGATGGAAGGGATAATATGTCTTCTATTACCACCCAAAAAACACCGAAATTTGCATAAATTTCAAAAACACTCCCTCGTTCCGACGCAAATAAAATTCCCATGGTAAGCGAAAGCGAGATTTACCGTCGCTTATGTTAATCTCGAAGAAGACTTCTTATCAATAAACTAAAACCCGGAAAAACTAGACCAACAGTTTGCGACCGATTGCTAAATAAAACAGTGGAGTACATCAACGTACCCGCCGCAATCTAGCGAGTTTTGTCGTGGGTACGTATACGTGCCCACCGCATGGAAAGGGTTAAAGATTGAAAAAATAAAGTAGTTTTTTAGGGATAGTGAGGTGGGACACCACTGGTTTACCTAGTTGATTCAATACATACCATTATCCATGCTGTTGCCGAAACATTTTCCCAGGAATCTGATAATTTGTTGCAAGTTGTGAACATGTGGAAATTGTTGTTGTAGTCGATTCTTGATGTTTGAAAATGTTTTCGAATCCTGTTGAAAATGTAATTCAAATTTTCTAAAAAATAGTCTGAGTGATGGGTGTTGTTTGTTAACTGAAAAGGGGGTGCAACATGGGTGTGGAATTCAGTGACGAGAGCAGGGGTCGGCAACCCCTGGCACGCATGCCAAACTTAGCACGCAATCACAACAGCGGGCATCACGCATTCAAACAGAAGTCCCACTGATATAGCATAAAATAAGGGAAGGAAATTTTGGTGGGACAAATATTTTCCTCTAACTGAATACCCCAAAGATTTAGTTTCAACACAAATAAAGTTGTATTGGGTGTCACATAGCTTGTTTTTTACCGAAAGGACACCGAAATGAGCATTATGATAGGATATGTTGACTGAAAATAATCAGAATATCAAATCATTTATTTATTCATCTCTGATGTTAAAATATATACGATAAGTAATACTACCTGCATGGAGATAACACACTGGTAACACGGTGGGTAGACGCTGCACCAGAAAGCTCGATCATCTGAATGGTTGAAGTGGATATCTCCTTAAAGACAAGTGAACATGTTTTAGAGCAGGGTCGGAAACCTTTTGTCGCTCACGGGCCAAAATTAAAGGTTGCAAGTCATTAGCGGGCCACACATATTTTTAGAAAGTTAAAAATCGAATGGATGACCGATGAATCACATTTTAATCACACAATTGAGAAGTTAAATTTTAAGCAGCACGCGAAGACTGACCCTTTGAATATTTTTTGCGTCATTAAACCCTTCGCACTTAGCATCAACTTTTCTGCTTTTCATTGCCATTTGTCTAAATTATAATTAAATTACAGGCTCATTAAACGAGTAATTGTGAATTATATACTTGTTACGTAATAATAGAATTTAGTCAAAAAATTTACACGAAAATTCTTTCGCGTAAAGAATATAATCGACAAAACAGACATAATTATAATTCAGTGAAGCGTCACGGGCCGAATTATACCGGTCCCTGCTTTAGAGTTTACTAAAAGCAAGGCTGCGATCACTCACCCAAAGAGACCCATCTCTGTCACTCTGAGATGCCAATCAATGATTGAGAATTCTAGATAATGTCATTTTTGAGTTACTGCATTATCATCACATTTCGACACTACTGTTGTCAAATTTTAATAATGCTGATTTTGCTTCTTTGGGCAGTTACAAAATTAGTTGATATTTCGACAAGTAAACGAATAGCTCGCAGAGCTTTTAAGTTTCGTTTCTCTCACAAATCCTGGGGAATCCGCATGGAGCACTAAACAAACAAAACTATATAAAATACCAACTTGGAGTCACATCTGATTCTGCTTGGAAGCCTCTTCCGATATCGAATTCATTAGCAATTGCTCCCATGGTAATTTACCCCATTTAAATAGCTATTTATGTCTGTATATAAAATGAAAAGGTAAAAATAAGGGTAATAGCATGAAAAATTTGAACAGTAGAGATTGGAGATTTCATGGGCACTAATTCAATATTCTGCAAGCACTCACTGAGGAGGGAGAAATGAAGAAGTTTAAAAAACAGGAAATGACATAAAAATTTAAACACTAAAAACACTCACTGAAAAGGTAAAAATAAGAAAAGAACATGAAATTTTGAACAATAAAAATTGGAGATTTCATGGGCACTAATTCAATATTGTTACGCTAGCGTGGCCACATTTTGATGTTTCCAGCATTTACTTGTGTTATGCTCCTGCAAGCACTCACTTGAGGGGGGAGCATAATTAAAATAATGAATAAGTAAAAAAAGCATTAAGCGTTAAGAACTGAATGAAACTTTCCTGGACAATCATTCAATAGTCTGCAAGCACCAACTGAGGAGAAGAGCAAGATTTTAAAAAAGACCGAATTGAGAATGACAATGTGAAAATATTTGAAAGTCTGCTTGGCACTTACTCAAAAGTCTGCGAGCACACACAGAAGAGGAAGATTGATTATGAATAGGTAAAAATTAGTCGCACATGTGTGATGATCTTATTGACAATTTAATGTTCATTTTACAAAATCAAGTACAAAAAAAACATATCACATGGGATAATAGGTAATAAGCAATTAGGATTTTGATTTGTCTTTGCAAGAGTACTCAATCAGTAGTCTTTGAGCGACCACTAGTAAAAAACAGGAATGATTCGATCGATAGAACAGTATTAATACGTTGCTGAGGATTTTGAATAATAAGGAAACATGAATCATATCATAATGAGTGATTATAGTTGAAAATGTGCAAAAAACTTATTCGATAGTCTGTAAGTTACCACTGAATTGGATAGTAATGCAATAATCAAAAGTGGTTTTTCAAAATGGGGGGGAAGGGGGGGGGGGTGATTTTGGCCCTCAGCCTACCAATACCCCCCTGGCAATGTTCCTGAAAGTGACAGGAATGTGGAAGTAAGGTAATATAGAGCAATTTAAATTGAGTAAAAAATGATATGTAAAAAAAATCAGCAAACATGAATTTGATTGAACTTCACAAGGAAACAAAAACTAGAAAGCTAAAAATGTGAATGAGTAACTGCACAATTAATTTAAATTTTTTTGTCAGAAACAAAGATTTAAATAGTTGACATGAACATACACGAACAAAAAACATGTCAAGATTATCATCCGGTTGCAAAGAGTATCAAAAAATGTCAGATCAACATGATGGCATAATCTTATATAATACAGAAACAAAGACTAGAATATTTTGACGTAGATTTGTGGATGCGAATGGCTCCGTGCACAAAAACAAGAAAGAAAATTTTCAATGCATCATCAAGGATATGTTATTTATAGGGTGTCCATGAAATCTTTTTGAAATTGCAAAGTGAATTTATCAATACCATATATTGTTTTGGCCCTCACAGATGTATTGAATGAAGTAAAAATACTTAAACAATTACTGATTAAAAAACAACAAACCTGGTTAAGATATATTGAGAATTGACTTCATAACAAAATTAAAATTGTGAAGGCACTTTTTAGACACCCTGATATATTAGGTGATGTCATTAGCTGTACACTTTAGGTGACTTCCCTCAATTTAAGCATTACATGCCATATTGAAGCTTCAGAGCAAATTACAGTAGTGTGTGCAAATATGTTGTGACACACCTCACAAATATAATGTTTAAATTATGGCAAGTGTACATATGCCTTTCTTTAATCGTGACCTCTGAACTGAGCATTACATGACAAATTGTGGCTTTTGCACAGATTCGTTTAGACATACGCTGTTCACATTAAGTGTTCACAATGGGTGTATGTAATTACGAGTATTCACATTTGGTGCACATGTTAGATGTGCATATTGGGTGCACATATGTCTCTCTTTAATCAGGAGTGTGCAACAAGCGGCCCGCGAGCCACAAACCGGCCTACCAAGTCATTTAGTGTGGCCCTTGGCAACACTCAGATTTTTCATCGTCATACATGAAATCTTAATCCGACAGTTCATGTTTAAAAGGTCGCTTTTTTGCCCTTTCCACCGAGTCAAATCTTTTGTCGTTTTGACCGGTGATTGGGAAAAAGGCACATTCACTTTTTTTCGTGTGGCCCAGCTAGATGTCGGTAGTTGGTTATATGGCCCACCATCAAACAATATTGCACACCTCTTTTTCAAACAAAGCATTACATGGCAAATTGAAGCTTGTGAACAAATTTAAGGGTGTAAGGGTGTAAATGTGAATGTGCACCAATCTTCACAATACGCTCTTCATATTAGGTAAACATTAAGTATCCATATTATGTGTACAATATTGATAGGTACATATTAGGTGTACATATGTCTCCCATTTAATCATAACCTCCAAACACACCATTACACGGCACACTGGAGCTTTCGAATAAACTTAAGAGTGCAAATGTACTCTCAACCATTCTCACATATGTTATTCACATTACATGTACACATTACATAGGTAAACATTAGGTATCAATATTATATTTAAACTACTGACTGTGTACCATAATGGGTACATATGAGAAGTTTATATTGGGTAGACATATGTCTCTCTATCAATCATAGCCCCTGAACAAGGCATTACAAGGCAAATTGGGGCAAATATACGTGCAGTAAACATTATCTTCTATCTCATCGCTGAGACGATTCTTCATGAACTCCACAATGTCGTTGTACTCTCCCTCATCCTCATTGAGATCAGGATACTCTCTGTGCCGAAGTTTTAAACGAGCGTTAAATGTTCTTTGCTGTGATGCTTCTGCTGTGTTTCCCTAATAAAAAAGCAAGTAAATCAATGAAAGTTAGCTAGAAATTAGGGTGAGCCCAGTTATTTTTATGAATACCGTAAATAGGATTGTTTTTCTTGCATGTTTTGTATAGTAAGCTTTATTTGAAACTTGCTCGACTGGCAATTGACAAAATTGAACAACATCAAACAATCGTCTATTTTCAAATACATGGGATTTTATATTTATTCTACAGAAGAGGAAAGTCGATAAGATGGCTCAAATCATGGGTGCACCACAGACTTTTGTCTGGTTAACAGTCCATATCGAGTATGGGATTACCGGTAGTTAGTTATTTGTTTTTGGAAGCATGGACTTGATGGTGGAGGAAGCCATAACTGACTAGTGATTACATACACTACTCTACAATGGCGAGAAGTCCAGCAATCCTCTTGCACATAATCACCCCCAACTAAATTTGAAATATATACTTAACTAGGTCATATTTAATACTAAACTTTGCGCAAATCATTGTGAATTTGTATAAATTGAATTTGGTAATGCGGAATAGTTCGAATAAAAAATGTTTTTTTTATTTTTATTATTGTATTTCTGAACCCCAGTTAACAGATATTTCATAAAAAAAATATAAATTTATCATAGTCACCAGTATGTTGTAATGTCTGATTTCAGTCGCATTGCACTTTACTGCAAGAGAGAATCCACCTGAGTAAAAAGAAAATTAATTGGCACTCAAGTAAAAGAATTAGGAAGTGAAATAATAAAAGAACAAAAATTGGCATTTTATAACACAAAATGGATCGTTTTTTACATTTTTACATTACCGTAATTTATTTCTGTTCATCATTGTTACTTATCGATTTTAATCGGTAAGTATGTTGATAGGTATTTGTCTGTCTGTATGTCTGTTTGTCTGATAGATGCACGCGATATCTCACGAAAGCGAGATTGAATCTGCTCCAGATCTCGGACCAGAAGCCTATTGATTTTGGGCGAATTATGTTGTATAATTAGCGAGTTATTAATTAATTAGTGATGGGACACAGGGTGTCACTATGGAGTAAGAGGCTATTTTGGGGGATCCCCTAACTTTCGATCGATAAGTCTTCGGTCTCTGACCGATATTCTCGTCTTCCTAGTTAAGTCTGAGGTGTTGGGCTTTAAGCTTTGAACGTGAAGCAATCATGTACATGATATATGCCTCTTTATGTAATTTAACCTAATCCTCCCGGTTTGACGCATGCGCGACGTTTTGCAATGCTGTGTGTATACCATGAGGTCTGGAATGTTTGTTATGGTCTTGCTTGAAAGGAAATCTTATTCCCCACACAACGATATGAGAATGAACCTTATATGACATTTAGAAGTGATAAAATTTCGCTTACATATCACGCGTGTACTTCCCGCTGCGATATAAAAACGTCGCACAACAAGAAAATGATTCCATAAACCTTGGCGTTGCGCGCTAACCAATAACAAAAGCTAGTATGATAAGGTCTTATTTTGAAGGTCATTTTATATGCTACATAACATAGGAGAGTGGACATCTCACAACGTCAGGAAGTTATAAAAATATCGAGTCGTTTGATCGCAGCTGCCTCACCGAAAAAAGTTAGGCGTTTTATCTCGCAAATTCTCCTTGTCTGACGATTATAAGCTTTTATGATTCATAATAAATGTTTTATTATGACTCACAAAAGCTTTCAACGCGATAAAGCACAAACAAACAACCGATCGATCTATCAAGCTTAGCCTGGCCTGATTCGATGTGGTGACTTCTCAAACGGAAAATTTCCAAAACGCTTGAACAACTAGCGCTATGGAAAAGCCTTTAGTATCATATGAAAGAGAAAACTAATGTGCAGTCAACTGTATAGTTACATTTCAGCTTTACAATAGCCATAGACGTCCAACAGCTGATAGAATGAGAGAGTGTAAATATTTTTGTTATTTTTTGACGTTACGAGAGACCTCTTGAAAGAGGTGTTTTAGTTTACGGTCCTCCAGTGACATCTAGCGTATAGTACTCTAAAATACCTTTCCAATGGTATATAATTATTGTATATTGGGTAAATTTTGGGGGTCGTATGACATTAATAAAAATGTACTCAAAATTGGGCTCGATTGGGCGTCTGAATCAGGTTAATAAAAGTTATACTTTTATAATTAGAATGTTTCAAGACATCAATGCGATATCACTGATAGTGACGATATCAAACAAATAGGAAATATGATGATTGGCAATTCACGTTTTGTTTTGTTTGTTGATGTAATTCATTACATTTATTTTGGTGAGAGCAATTTCATAACAAAATAAAGTATTATTAATAACATATCAAAAATAGCAGAAATACGTATTGCCAGAAGAGGCAAGGGGTGTAGCAAGAGGGCAGTGTTGGTGGTCACAGAATCCCCCCAGTTCGAAATGTAAAAATAAGCATTTTTCTGTATCTTCTGCTTGAAACGCTTCTCTGGCTCTAAAGACTCTTGAGAACCCTCCTTTTCGGTAGCTGTTACGGTCTAACTTGGCAATTAGAAATTTCAGAACCCTCAAGTCCCTTTTGAAAATTCCTGGCTACGCTCCTGGCAGAGGCATATTTTTTTGATAATATGACCCAAAATGGGCCTTAGTATTTAGTTTTATAGTATGATATCCGTCAAAAATGAATTGATCCCACGAAAGCAGCTGATAATACAGTTTCCCCATGCACCATACCTCAGGTACTATTCCTGCATTCAGTCAAAGATGAGTATAGGGTTTTAAATGCGAATATGTAACCCAGTTGGAGAAATGAGTCATGGCGGATAGTGGTTATTTCAATGAACCGCACCAAACAAACCCCATTCACACCAGCTTACCCCAGATGCCACATTCTGGTTCTTTCAAAAAAAGAAGCTCCTGTGAGTGACTGCTCATAGCAAAGCTTCCCTTAACAAAAAATAATTTAACATGTTACCTTGTTCAGCAAGACTTTCACTAAATCTGATTAAATACGATTCTGGTTTGGCTGAGGGTTGATTCAAATGTTCCTCTGCCTGTCGTTGGTCGATCATTCCAGCAAAAGGACTGAAATTTGTATATTTTTAGGCTTAGTTCATAAAAAAAAGTGAAGTTTATGGGAAATTACAAAAGAAAATGGGCGCTCCAGAAATATGTGTATCAATATAGAGGTAACTAATTTTGTTCGCCCACTTTACATCAAGTTATGTAAAGGGATTGAAACATATGGGGAAGGGGTATATTCACTTGGCTTATACAGACAGTCCCCAAACTTGTAGTAAAACTAATATAAGAAAAACCGGAATAAAATTATGGCCTAACTCTAACCTGGTACACACTAATTCTACTGATGCTTTGAGTCAGGAAAATCAAAATTTAGACTCTGTGTGCTTTATAAATATGAGTACAGTTCAGACCTAATGCCAACAAAAAACTTTTGAGAACTGTTCAGTTTAAAAAGTAATGCCAGGGTTATATGGTGTGTCCGTCCATGAGGGCTTGAAAATTTTTAAAAACCTTAAAATTTTTACTCTGTATACTTCGAAACCTACGTGGGTTATGTTTTTAGCCCACGTGAATTCCACAAATCAAATTTTTACCTGATTTTTTCATTTCCTTGCTCCAGTAAATATGACATTAATTTGTGAATCTGAAAAACAAGTCGAATCATCGATTATGTAGCCCATACTAGACAAGAGGTCAGGGGTTACCAAATGATTTAACTTGAATAAATATGGAAACCATACCCTATTATATTTTAAATTCCGAACTCTCCAAGACATGGTGGTAATTGTGTGTAAATGGGTTTGATAATGCTATATTGTGCTTCTTTATAATTATGGAAAATCCTAATTTATGTCATGGGCTGTCATGTCAGCCTCTTCCACAATCAAGTCCATGCTTCCAAAAACAAACAACTGACTAACTAACCCCATACTCGACATGGACTGATAACTGGATGAGAGGTCATGATTCTCCATATGATTTAGCCACCTTCCGGTTTTCCGCGAGCCCGGAACAAATATCAAAATCCTGTAAATCCGAACTAATGCCATACCCAACATCGGTTAGCAATAAAACAAGGTGCCCTGGTTCGCCAAATGTCCTATTGACTTTCCTATCACTAAGATAAATATGAAAATCAGCCACTGAACTTTAACCCTTTCCGTGCGGTGGGCACGTATAGGTACCAACGACAAAAGTCGCTAGATTGCGGCGGGTACGTTGATGTACTCCACTGTTTTATTTAGCAATCGGTCACAAACTGTTGGTCTAGTTTTTCCGGGTTTTAGTTTATTGATAAGAAGTCTTCTTCGAGATTAACATAAGCGATGGTAAATCTTGCTTTCCTTTACGATGAGAATTTTATTTGCGGCGGAACGAGGGAGTGTTTTTGAAATTTATGCAAATTTCAGTGTTTTTTGGGTGGTAATAGAGGACATATTATCCCTTCCATCTACCAAAGTATTTTGAGTTAGATCACGAAATTGCTACAGCAATATTATGCTATTGTTTGCCAACCACGAAGCGGTAACAGTAAAGGATTTAGCGAATATTTCTATTTTTTATCACGATTTGAAGTTTCAACTCCCAAGAAAAAAAAATGCCTTTTTCCTATTCGGTTTGTGACTCAGTCCACCACTTAAAATACCCTTTTTTTTAATCGCCAATTGCAAGCTTTTTAAATAAGCTTTTCAACGAGCCGTCAGTGGGAAGCAGAGGATCATTAGTTTTTCGTTAGTCGATCAATTAGTTGTGGGGGTACAAATGCATAAATCGGCGTAGCAAATACGATTATTTAATAAAAAATAAAAATCGCATGGGAAGGGTTAAAGTGATATATCCTGGTCGCTGACGACTCCATCGACTAACAATTGAATAAGTGAAAAACTATCCTCAAACATGATTGGCAACAAACAAGACTTTTCACTCCCTTGGATAAATATAAGAACCATAACCCAGGGGCATGTCAAACTTTTCTGCTGTCTAGGGTGAGTTTCTGATAATGATGGCCCTAACATGCAGAAACGATAAACGTTGGAAATGTTTGCGTTACAGTAATTTTGTTCTCTTTCTACGTTTTTCTTGAGGCGTCCGGCGTGTAACAATTCGTAGGACTGGCTTATGTGCGATTTTTTATAAAATCGTTTTGGGAAGTCGGCCTATTCGCGAGATAGGCGTAATTTCGAGAAAATACAGTATATCCATTCTACTTTTTAAGATTTCTGATTCGAAACATAATTATTAGAACTAGTGCGAAACATAAATCTCACGATTTCGAGAGAATACACAAAATTGCAAAAAATTGTTGAATATAGTGGAAAGGAAAGTGGATGGCCCTTAAACCTAAGATCAAAAATATTTTTGAGCTAAAAAAATTATAGATGTTTCTATACATGAGAGCAAATTATTTAAAGTTCGAGTTAGATTGGAATGTTTGTATTATTTTTATTCAAATCATCAAACAGAGAAACAAACTCACTACTATAACGCGCTGCTCTGTGCGGCTGCCACAAGACACGCCCCTCTAGACACGCCCCTGCCATAACCTATTATAATTTAAATTCACAACCGGAATGATTCCAGTCCTCCCAAGGCATGGTGGTCATAAAATATAAATGTTCTTTACAATACTATATTGTACTTCTCTATCTGAAGAATCATAATTTATGTCATGTTAAAATAAATATGTCAGTTTATATAGAAGACCCACCTGGTCCAGAAAGATGCAAGAGTTATTAGTAAGTCTTGTGAACGAGCCAAACCATTTTGTCATATTGATGAATGAGCGAACACACACTGGGGCCTCCTCTGGAAAACAAAGTCAAACGTAAAAACAGAGTACGCATCAACTAAAAAAATGCAAAGCATTTGATGATATCGAGCCACATAGCCTTCAGAATTTTTTTTAAAAGAACAATAGCGTTCTAGTCCAGTGGTTCTCACATTTTTTGGTTCTCACTGAAAACTTTAAATGGTGATTTCATTACCCTTTACTAGGTTGGGGCATTTTCGTCTTGAATCGAATCTTGAATACTTGGAAGATGTTTAATTGTGATTTTTTTTATTGCGATTGGTGCTCCAGGCACATAAATTACTGAAAACATTGGATTTGCAACTCAGACAATTTCCTGGGTTGTCACACACAAGGAGAAACCTGTTTCATCAGTAACTCAATAGGAAGAAAAGAGTTATATGTCAAAATTGCATTTTGAAAATATTGAAAGATGGCGACAATTCGAAATTATTGTATGAACCGATTCAAATAATTTACTATTCGATTTGAAATGCCCAACCCTACCCATTACCCAAATGCGATAGTCTAGTGTCAAACTATGTAAAAACCAGTTAAATACATTACCAGGTATGAATTGTTTAAAGTTTGAACAATTAATAGAATCCTTGTTTTTATGTGAGAGAGTCTTATGGCAAAAAATGGTTGGGAACCACTGTACAGACTCTTAAAGTGATTCCAAAATCCATACTCTTTTTAATATATTGTTAACTGTTGCATACCATTCCCCATCGGAACTTTGAAACATCTTTTCAGAAACTTGATACTTCGTTTCAACTTCGGTACTTGTGAGAAATCTTGCTCAAGTTGAGCTTGAAGGTTTGCAAAGGTCTTGGTGTCCTGAAAGATTTGAAACCTTCACTAAGAGTCAATATGTACATCTGTGGACATTCAGTTTTCTTATACAACGCCAATTCAGGCCTTTTGCTCCAAACAAAGTCATTAACAAGAAGTCACTCAGCTTGGCAGTATGGCGTAGTGTGCTAAGCGTTAGGAATATGCTCGCCACCGCACATCTGATTATCCTACGTGGGTTCGCAGGTTCAAACTCCATGTGAGGTTAGTTATGTGCAAGAGGATTGCCGCCGTAGAGTGCTTCGCGTAACTGTTATTTTTTTATGGCTTCTTTTACCATCAAGTCCATGCAACTGGAAACAAATAATTAGCTAACTAATCCCATACCCGACTTGAACTGGTATCCAGACAAGAGGCTGTGGTTCAAAAAGTCCTTGTATTCACATACCTACAATTCAAGTTATGTATCTGTTAGATTGCATAATGGTAAGCATACCGGATAATAAAATATTTGATAAAAACAAATAAATAAAAACCGATTGTTAAGTTACCTAATTTCCCTATTCTGAACTAATAATTGGACGAGAGGCCCTACTTTGACATATGAGTTAATAACGGTCTTGAAGGTTTTACTTTACCCAGAATAAATTTGAGAGTCAAGTTTATTTTTTCCAACCAGTAAAAAAGTTAGTTTTATATACAATGCAAAAAAAAAGATAATTACACATTTTAACAAGGGAAGAGAATAAATTAGAGTTTTATTAGGAGTAAAAAGGCACCACATTAAAACTCTTATCTCAATGTATTTCTAGCTCAGAGGTGAGCAATTACTTTCCTGGGTAGGCCTGTTACACATGATAGATTTGGTTACTTGGCGAAAAACTTAATATGAAAACTTATGAACAAAAACAGTTCATTGACAAAAGCTAGTCCAACAGCTAGGCTGGCGTTTATATAATAATAAGAAGCCTGATGACACTATTTCATCGATATTTTCAACATAAATTTATATCCATAAAAACTATAGTCTTAATTTCAGCGGGCACCAGTGAGCCGGATGAAACATTTCGGCGGGCTGGATCTGGCTCGGGGGCCGTAATTTGCGCATTGTTGGTTTAGGTGCACATATGGCTTCCTCTAAATATATTACCTGAACAAAGCAATATACTAGTATGTCATACTGAAGCTTTTGAGCAAAGCCCGCGCGTTGGTCCTAATTTGCCCATCTCTATTTTAGCTAGATCATATTACATTACAATCAAGCTCACCTCATTCACTGGAACACTATCAGGAGATGCAGGATGGATCCGGCACCAGAATTCATGATCATCTGGATGATTGAAGACAGCGGCTCCTGAAATGATGAATAAGTAATTCATATAAAGAGTGGAAATGAAACCAAAAAAGCTAGAAGTAGAGAAAGAGATTTTATTTCACAAACAACACTAACAAGGAATCAAAGAGATACCCCGGTACAGGACTGACTTGAAATTCAAACAGTTTGTTAGAAATTTGAACCAAAAATGCTGCAGTACTCAAACGAAAATTTTGAACTGAGCGCTGCCAAGTGGGATGATGCCATCCAAACGCATCTCGGCTGCCTATTGGCCACAACAAGCATTAGATCAAATCGGAACATTTGGGGGAAATGTTAGGAAATTTGTGTGCTTTTTTCACAGTTTTTTAGTCGAATACCAATCCTGAACAAATTATGTTCGAGTAACGAAGTATCACTGTCTATAAGACAAATTCCCAAGTACTATTTATATATATGCATCTTACTCAAGAACACTTGTGAGACAGGTCTCATACAGATCCAGCAGTACAAGAAACGTTAACACATCATGTGAAGTTTTATCAACAATTCAGAATTTTCAATTTTGTTCAGTTTTTGGGTGAACTTAAACATAAAAATTTTCTGTTTCAACATAGTCATGCAATGTGAGACTCTTTTCTTTTGTTTTCATGAAATAGTGACAACCAAAGGTGTTCTTACCTTGCATGGAACTGGCATCTGCTTCCACCGCTGGAGCATCATTCATGGCAGCCATTCTTCAAAAATCCTTTTATCTTTATTCTTCTTTTATAATATTTTTAAGTTAGTTTCATTACTATTAATATACACAGGCTGGAGATTAAGAACAAAGAAATGTCACTATGCATTAAATTTATGAATGACTGACTTCCCATCCTTCCTGTATGCCAGAATGTGCAACATTTTTGATCAGTGGGGCATATAACTTCAGACATTCAGCTGGGCCACAGAAAAACTTAAGCGAGAATGACAAGAAAAAAGAATGCAGCTATTGCTAAGCCTCACAGTAATAGAGACAATGGGCACAAAATTGTGAAGGATTTAACTCAGTGACAAGAGCGAAAAAACATGAATTTTAACTCATGTGAGCGCTTGAGGGTCATACAATACAATTTATTTCGACCATACCATTAAGCCTTATCAACTTTCCCCTACCTAAGATAAAATTCCCTGTTATCTCATGACAGGGTAACCTTGGCGTCTTGTCCATTCCTCAGAATGATGCAAAATTTCATTGAACAATCTTATCCTACATAATTATTTTTAACAAGTGAATATTAGTTCATAACTATCATTCATGTGTTGCATCAGACTGCATGAAGTCATCAGGTCACTGTGATATCACAATGATCATAAATGTCTGTTCAAAGAATAAACATGACTATGGCATTAAGTCTATAAAATATGAATTTTTGAGAGAAAGATTTAGTTTTAAATGTATGATCAAATAACAAATAAAGATTAATATTTTAATTGAACCATGTGTGTGACAACACAATCAATCAATTATCACCTAAATCTAGTTTTGACCCTTTCAAACACTTTGCTATATCTCCTTATTTATCTCTCTTTCTCTGTATGGAAAGTACCATCACATTCCTAACACTTATGCTTTCAACTTATTTTTTTAAATATTGCAAGAATTCCCCAGATTTTAAACAAAAAAATACAAATATTGATATTCAACTTTTCATGCTTCACACTCTTTACTTTGGATGAATTCAAATAATTTGTGACAAAACAAAAAAGCTTAAGATTTTTACTTTTCCTTCATATTATCAAGTAAGTCCATGTAATTACAAAATTCTGAAAAATTTGCAACAAAAAAAGATATATTTCATTTGAGGATTATAAAGTCACATCTGATTTTGATTGTGTCATTTTAGCAATTGCTTTTTCAATTTTCAAATTGTGATAAATTCGAAAATAACTACTAAGCATTACATCATAGCTATCATGTGTTGAATCATACTGCAAAAAAGTTCTTAATGATGATGCGACAAAATTTATGTCCCGTGAATGACTGTTCGAACGTAAAATATAAATGTATTATTTGCATCTGTGAGATATATATCTAACTTTTTCAAACAACAAGGTTTTTGAAAATTTATAATTTTGTAATCAAAAAGTATAGCAAAAATTAACAAAATTGAATTTGAGCCAAGTACAGAGAGCGCTAGTCATTCTCAATGCACTTCTGATTTTATGATGTGATAATGACAATGATAAAACAATAATTACGGTCTATTGATTGGCACTCCCGAAGTATGTGCACCAAGATGGCGCACAACCTGAAACCGAACTTGGTACACATACTATGTTCAGGTACTTCTGGAGGTCCTATTAATTAAAGCTAAGAAAGTTGAATCTCGCTTTCCTAAAAAAAGTTTTGTAACTTCAAATTTATCATTAAGTTAAAAAAGTGAAAATACAATTAAAATTGAATCAAACATAATATGACAAAACAATCATAACCTGAACTCTACTTTAAAATCTTTCAAAAAGTTTGCTCTCGCCTGCCTATCGTTATTTGATTGTCTCATATCTTACTTTTGACATTCCTCTGCAAACAAAAATCTGATCATTATGAAATTCTAGAATGTTCTACATTTATATTCAGTCATCTGAATTTCTTTGATGACCGGTCGTATCACTCCCTCCTGTCTATACCAAATTATTTTATTGTTAATATTTTAGTATTGCGATGACTGCTATTTTATTTTGGTAGACGAAATATTGAACCTCTCTCTCTCTCTCTGTCTTTCTCTTTACTGCCTTAGTCATATTGAAAAGTACTTGACATTCTCAGCACACTTTTGCTTTCAGATGATTTCGAAAATTTCCAAATTTGAGACAAAATATTGATTTTGTAAGATTATAAAGTCATATCTATTTTTGAAACACACAAGTGTTAGCCCGAAAAAGGCAGGCTGTTAAACATAATCTTTCTATTTTGATTTTATGTCTTTTTTTATTGAAACGTTTTAAAACTTTGTTACAAATATCGCTTTGTGTAAGCATCCAAAGATATGCAGAGAGCTATTATGTATTGAAGTTCTATATTATTTAGGCTTCTGCATGATCTACCCCATTTAGTACACACTGCTGTAAGAGAAGGGGTATCTCCGCAGTGTCGGTACCAGATAAGGGTTAGGCCATAATTTTATTCTGATTTTTTTTATTTTAGTTTTATTACGAGTTTGGGGACTGTCTGTGTTAGCCAAGTGAATATACCAGCTGCCCATAGGCTTCAGTCCCTTTATACAACTTGATGTAAAATAGGCAAACAAAATTAGTTACCTCCATATTAGTACACACACTTCTGGAACCCCAGAAAATGAGCATGGAGTTTAAAGCTAAAATTTCTAACTTGCATCACCAACATCCTCACTACTAATCGCACACACAATCACAAATTCTGAAAAGTTTGTAACATTAGGTTCAGTCATTTTTGACAACATACTAGGACAAACTCTATCTTGTTCTTTGCCACTTAATGTACCCAATGGAATTCAACCAAAAATTATTTAGCGACACCTAAATGTCTATTATGGTTTCCTGCTCTGTGTGAAGTACTATAGACGTACAACACCACAAATAAATATGTAATTAAGCTCAATCTTTTATTTATCTTTTATCTCTTATTTGTCTTTCATTCTCTCTGTGTCACTCCAATCTATATTAATACATATGTCAAATTAGTTTGACAAGGAGCGGGGAAATTTGTTTATTTGTATATATACTTATTTAGAATAAATAACAAATTGTATAAATGATGAAACATTGAACATAATGAAAAAGGGTACATGTACAGGGTCATGTTGATCTAAAATACAATCAAGCGACATGCATCTTCAACAAAGTATATAGACCAGTCAAATGAAGATCCATTCTGATGGTTCTTATAAGTTTATCTGTTAATTAGAATTATAACATAAACTGGATTTAGCACTGTTGATTGAAGTTAGACTATAATATAATGAAAGCTTACAAATATACCTTGCTATTTTGCGGAAAGAGATTGCGGTAAGTTATTCCTATTTATTAAAGTATACCCCTTGACAAAATTTCAAGGCTCAAATTGCTTTTAAAAATTATCAGTTCCATTCTATTAGTTTCAATATTTCTTTTAAAAATTGGAAAGTAACCGAGGCAAAACTGTCTATTTAGTAATACTGAATGGCTAGTCTTGTTGACTTCATGGAGTACTATCTGCTTACTACTCCACAATTAAATATGTAACTAAGCTCAAATTTTTTTTTCTTTTTTTGTAAATTTTATCTCCTATTATTTACTTTTCTCTCTCTCTCTCTTTGTTAGTCAAGTCTACTTGGAAAGTACCTTCAAGTTCCCAAGTCCATATAAATATGTTTCGAGTCATCACACAAATTATACAGTACAGAGAGAAAAAATATCGACTACATAAGACGCTAGTGCAAATAAGACAGTCGACAACCTGGACTCTGTTTCTGTTCTCGGAGCACTGGCTCCCTTGAATCGAAGTGTTTACAGCAGTTTTTGTCAGAAGTAGTAGGGATTCAATGACAAGGGAGGTATTAAGCCAAATACTTCTCAATAATTACCAATTACAGCGGTTCACAAAGTATAAGTCGCAATAAAACAAAAACCGTCGCTTCGACGAATGTCCTTCAATAGAGTATCACAAAGAATTCTCTTCGCGCTAAACAATAGACTTTGTTTGCTTTTCTCCATTTCAACAACCCCACATGATGTACGATTCATGCTAATTTACATTTAAGTTTGCTGTGTAAATAAACTTATGAAAATGGCTCTAACAGGAAGATGGATAGCAAAACAATTTGCCAATGATATTTCACAATATGTAAGAAACTAATATCTCTGAAGAACCGGAATTTTTCAGCTTTTAAAAAATTGAAAATATTTTCTACTCATAATTTAAGCCACATATAATTTAAGTACTGGTAATAATTTTATGATTTTCTAAATCATCAAATATATTAAGCTAAACAAAACGTATTGTCAAATTTTTTTTTACATATTATCGATTGAATATTGGGGTTGAATAATGGGTGTTGGTCATCCTAATTTAATCAATAGTTACCGGTACTTATAATATTAACTATATTTCAGCACTCAAAGGGTGATATATTACAAACGTTTTGTCAACTCGGATAAATTTTATTCTTGCTACATGTTATTGAAACAACTAATAATTTACATTAAAGCTGGCTGTTGTGTAAATAAACTTATGGAAATATTTCTTGAATTTAGATAAAATTTAAAATATTTCCTACTTATCACTTGAGTCACATATAATTTGAGTACTGGTAATAACTTTATGGTTTTTTTCACTATAATTTCTCCAGCAAACTCAATAAAACAATCAACAATTAAAACAATAGTATTTGAGATGGCTGAGTGCACACTTCTTTGAAGCTTAGGTCTTTACAATGTCAAACGAGACCTAAATAATGTCAGCAAACACAATTAGCAAATAGAAGATCGAGAATATCGGTCAGAGACCGAAGACTTAACGATCGGAAGTTAGGGGATCCCCCAAAAAGCGCTCTTTCTCACACCGTTTGTCCCATCACTAATCAATTACGGTAATAACTCGCTAATTATACGACATAATTCATCCAAAATCAATAGGGTTCTGGTCCGACATATGGTGAATGCACATGCAAAATCTGGAGCAGATTCAATCTCGCTTTCGTGAGATATCGCGTGCATCTAACAGACAGATAGACAAATAAAAATATATTTGGGTACGGTAATTCTATGAAAATTATCTACATAAAACTTATTTCAAAAATTTTCTTGCTACTTGTTATCAAAACAACTGCTGATTCACATGTTAGCCTTGAGTGGGTCAACACCCATTACACACCTTCATATTATTGTACTATATGTAAACATAGTTAAAGATAGCTCCTAGACTAATCTGCCTTTTTTAAGTAGTTTCCTACTTGACGCCACAAATGATATAATTCATCGGAAATTATTTTACGATATTTTTGCTAGTACCACGTTAGGGGGTGTGTAATGGGTGTTGGCCCATCTGATATCAACCAATATCTATGTATAGTATCTCTATGCCCTCAACTTTAAAATTAGAAATGTTATTTCAAACTGGACGAAAAAAATATTGCGCACACATATCTACTTTGTTATTCACTTCTCTTCACAAGATAGTAGCACCATATAGGCTTTGTATATCTATTCAAAGCAGGGGTGGGCAAGTTTTTGGACCTTGGGTCTAAAGTTATTCTCATCTAGACTGGCGGGTCTTGTAAGTGTGATGTCAAAGTTTGATTTTATGAACAATATTTACTGTGTTACAAAAGAAAAAGTAGAAAACAATAAGCCTCGTGTCAAAACTGAATTAAATCACAATCTCAACAGATTCCTTGAGCTATTTTTTTAGCTAAAACATCAAAATTTGGTTTTAGTGTGTTTAGTGAATGTAGCCCGTAGTTCGCCCACGTTAGATTTAGAGCCTTATTCAAATAGAAGGTATAAAATACCTGAATGAAAATATATAATTAGCAGGATATTGACTGTTGGTTGTAAATATTGAATATGTAATTATCAATAATCGCTCAAGCAATCATATTTTTAAAAATTCAATTGTAAAATAACGAGGTCACTTCCCTACAATAAATCTTCACTACAATACAATATTGATACTACTTGAAAGCAAACAGAACAAAACACACAATTAAATATATATTTTTTGTTTGCTTTATAGTACTATAATATGAGGGTGTGTAATGGGTGTTGGCCCACTCAAGGCTACTATATTCGACTAAGAGGAAAATATCCACCTAAAGAATAGCAAAAGATGAAGTTAGATTTAGTAGAAGTTAAAGACATGCCACTGTAATCTAAAATTTTATATTCATATAATAAAATACCCTCCTTGCATATATTATCACATCGAGCATAATTTTTTCATTGGGGATTCACACATAGACTGGCGAGCCATGTAAGTTTGACGTAAAAGTTACATTTTATGAACAATATTCACAGTGTTACAAAAGCAAAAGTGGAAAACAATAAGCCTCGTACAAAAACTAATTCCTTGAGCCATTCTCAGCGGAACATCAAAATTTGGTTTTAGTTTGGATGTGTCAGCATCAGGCGGGCCAGATTGAATTACTCAATGGATCATATTTGGCCCACGGGTCGTACTTTGCCTATGTCAGGCCTGTGCTAAGCCATAGAATAGGCTTGCCAACAATGACTTATCCTAAAATGCTGATAAGTATTCGAAAAAGAATTCCATTATATAGCTGTATGGGTTCACAGGCTGCAATACTACAGGGGGGCTCCCGAAGTATGCGAACCAAGATGGCGGACATCGGAATGTAATATGTGTACTAGGTTAGGGTTAGGCCATAATTTTAGGTATAAATACTACGGGAGGCTCTTGGCTAGTTTTGGACTGATAATAGGACTAAAATAGGGGAAATTGGAATAAAATTATCGCCTAACCCTAACCTGTAACCCATGTTACGTTCCGATGTCCGCCATCTTGGTTCGCATACTTTGGGAGCACCACTAAAGGTCCTAATACTATTGAAGTCCTATACTCTCTGTTTGCTATGAAACCATCATTTACACCAACTTAAATGTCAGTAAACACAATTTAAACACTGATAAATAAAACAGTATAAACACTTCAAATGACTGAGTACACACATTTGAAAATCGCAATTATTTTCATTGAATATATCATTCTTGTGTAATGTACATCTTTGGCCACTTTTGAAGAATTTCGGGTCGAGAAAAAGATATCTTTCAACATTGTAAAATTGTCATTGTCAAACTCAATACTGTACACTATATTAATATTCATTTTGTTCTTTCTTTAGAGACTTTTTTGAAAAGTCATACATTGAGTAAATGTAGCATTAACATAATATATAAATATCTCTCTACACTGTTAGATCATGATTTATGTTATTTTAAATAATGTGGGCAACCACAATACCACCACGTGAACAGAACGTTAAATAAACACATTTGAGAATACTAAATACACACTCAGTTTCCTTCTGTCAGTCTGTACATTCAAATAATATTTCTAATATAAAGAAAAATACTATGAACATTATATCACATTATTAATGATGAAGGATGCTGACATAAGACACATTTGTCCGACATTTACACTTAAGAAATATAATAGCAAAAACTTTTATCTGTTTTTTCACCAGATAGAATTAAAATCATATTTTTAGGATGTACACAAACCCATTCTTTTGACGACATCTTTTTATGTAAGTCTCTCTTGCTCTCGTGATTGGCGCGGCAATCGCCACCGCGCCTGCGTGAGTTCACAGGTACGCATCCCATGCTGGGATGGTTATTTGCGGAGATTTCTGGACTCCTCGCCGCCATGGGGTGGTTCACGTACAGTAACTGCTGGTCGGTTACGACTTCCTCAACCTGTCAACCATCAAGTCCATGCTTCCGAAAACAACTAATCCCATACCCAACATGAAATGGCAACCGGACGAGAGGCCATGGTTCGCCGTTAAGCGGTCTTATAGGCTTTCCTCTCCATCAGGATAAATAAATAGATAAACAGATAAATATCTTAACCTGTAATAAGTTTTCCTTTTTTTATCAATTTATTATGCATTTATCTATCGTTTATTCGTTTATTATGCTAATTAGGGAGTCAAATTAAAATTATGCCTGTATACCTTTTACTTATGCTTCAGAAGCGCCTGGCAGCATTATAAATTCGACTTGCACAAATATGCCTGATACCACGCTACAATATATTGAGGGAATTAGGTATTTCCCGCTTCGACCGTGGTTTGAAACAGTACAGAACGATGGCAGACGTCCTGTTGCATCACGTTTTGGCGCAAGAATTCTTCTGTACCAGGGGAATCCCCCGTTGTAGCACCTCGGTACTTATCTAAATAGAAATTTGCAAACAAGTTCTGTAATCAGGACTTGTTTTTACCGCCTGGAACCTGTTTGTTCCGGTTTGAACAGTGTTTTTTGATAACAGGAAGTTATGTGCCCTTCATCTCGAAGATTTTGAAGGACTAGCTAAATTTGCTAAGTCATTCAGCTAAGTCATAGAAGCGGCGAGGCACAGGTCTTACATTAGTAAGCAGAGTTATCTATATTCAGATATTAATATTGCATTAGGCTTAAGAATGAAAATTACAGATTCTATGTGTAATATAAGTGTTTTCTATCATGTTTATTATATTTTTATCAATGACAGGATAGGATTTTCCTATTTATCGCGAGGTGTATGAAAAACAAGTGCAGAATTCGTACAATGGAATTGTTGAGGAAGCATTAGCCCTTTCCTCTCTTAGTTAAAATATGTACTTCCTATTTCAGTATTTATATCGACTATTTATGGGTGTGGCGCATCGTGCTAAGCATTAGGAGTATGCTGCGTAACTGTAACCACATCAACCTGCGTGCATTCGCAGGTTCGAAACCTGTGGGGGATAATCATGTGCAAAAGGATTGCTCGACTCCTCGCCACTGTAGGGTGGTTCACGTAACTGCTGGTTGGTTCCATCAAGTCTATGCTTCTGAAAACAAATAACCAATTAATCCCTCAACCAACATAGAATGGTAACTGGACGAGAAGCCGTGGTTCGTCATTTTGTTGAGTCATCTCATTGGCTTTCCTCTCTGTGAGATAAATATGTAAATCCTATCCGTATACAGATGTCAATTGAATAGTAAAATGGTTGTTAGCATATTTTCTAGTTCAAATGTCGTCTTGACAAATGAGCATTTGAATAATGCCACAGTAAAGGAAGCCATTCAGAACTGTTCTAAGCTAATCTTTGTGGGAGTTAGAGAAAATGGCACACCTTTGCCACACCTCAAATGCGAGAATGACAGCATTAATGGAAAACTGATTAAGATTGAAGCAATCTCATTGGTTGATGCTGTTTTTAAACTCAAAAAAGCTCTTGATGAGGCTCAAATATTGGACGCGGTTGCTTATATTCCTGAAGAAAATGTTAAGGAGTGTACAGCAGTGAAAAAATTGCTTTTTCCAGAAAAATGCAATGTTCGGTTCGAAGTTTTTCCGATAAATGGGGTCGTCGGTGCTTCTATTGGCAATGAAACTTTGGATTTTGAATCAGAGGTGAAAACATATTTAGAAAGTGTTCCTAGAAACGAGGATCTCAAAACAGTCAAGTCAAATATGATACCGGATGAAATATTTGTCCATGGATATTCTACTCGATATGGAGGTTGCTCAACATGGCCGACAATGGCTTCACTGAACTTAAGCTACAGTTTACGCAAGCCTGACTCTTTGCTTGTGGTAAAAGAAAATGCTAGAAGGCTTTCTCAACATTTGGGTTTCGCTCACGAAAATTATCATCTCGCGAAAGCTAACCATGGTAAAGATATATGGGTGTATGAAAAACGAGCGCCAAATTCGTACGATGGAATTGCTACTCAAACACCGGGTGTCCTCGTTGCATCACCAGCAGCGGATTGCAACATGCTCCTTCTAGCTGATCCGGTGAAGAAAGCGTGCGGAGCGATTCACGCTGGTTGGAAAGGAATTTTAGTTGGAGTTGTGGAATCCGCCGTAAACGCCATGACTTCAAATTATAATTCCGAGCCCAAAAATATCATTGCCAGCTTGGGTCCTTCATTGAGTGTGTGCTGTTGCGAGTTTGGAGTAGAAGAATCGAAGAAGTTCCTCGCGATCGGTGAAAACGTTGTCGTTTGGAAAAAGGGCAAAGATAAGCCACATTTAGATTTAAGGCTTGCTGTGCGCATTCTGCTTGAAAAATCAGGTCTCAAACCAGAGAATATTGATGATGGGATCCGAGGTTCGAATCCAACTCAAGCTCTTGCGACTTGTACAAAATGTGACCCAACGAAAACTTTCTTTTCATACAGAAGAGATGGACCAATGTTTGGGAACTGTGTCGCTTTCATTTCTTTGAAATAATATTCCTAATTAAAATTTCCAGAATGCAAAAAACAATAGACTTTGCTATCTGATGCTTATGATATGATATTTATTGTCATTTATTAATAAGTCAATTCCACCATATAAGAACTTGCTTGTGCCAGTTAAAACCTGTATATTCCAGTTCAAACAAGAACTAACACGGAGGAAAGTTTTATGTTTTTGATAGAATTTCTAAACTGTTTTCGCGATTTAGTTTTCCAATTTTCCAAATCTTTTGTGTGTTCATTGTTTTGTGTAATCAAATAAACTTATACTTAATATTATAAACTTGACATGAATAGGCAATTTTGTTTGGGACGACAGTTTTTATATTTTATTTGTTCCACATTCTTTCTTCAAACAAGACTCTTTATATCCACCTATATGTAGGTAGTCATTTTGATTTGGGGGCAATCTCAATCCGTATTTACTGACTTCTTTGCCTAATCCAACGGTTCTCAACCAGTGGGCCATGGCCCACTTCTGGACCACAGAAACTTTTTAGGGCAGCGGTTCCCAAACTATGGGTCGCGATACACTGGTGGGTTGCGTCCCAATGGTGGTTCGCAAAAGGAATCTTAGTGGGTCGTGAAAAGATGTAGAAAGCTTTGATTAATTATACTGGTTATTAGGATCAGTGGCAAAGCAAATTTTGAAATAAACTGCAACTTTTCAATTTTTTACGTCTAAAACTATCTGAAATTGAAATAAATGTCAAGTCTATTATGGAAAATAGCAAGAAACAAGATCATCTTTCTCACTAGCTTCACTGAAAATTCAATTTGAGAAAATAAATTTCTTTCCCCAATCAATGTTTTATTAATTTATTAAAGTTAAATGGGTCGCCATAGGCTGTGGTAAAAAATAGTGGGTCCCAACTCTAAAAAGTTGAAACCTATTGAAAATTGCTATAGGTATTAACGAATTAGTTAAACTTTGATTGTAGTAGCAATGAATGATTTTGCTACTGAGTGGTAATTCTTGTTTTAATTATTAAATTGGAAGTGTCTATCCTTTCTAAAAACATTTTTTGTTTTGTTTTTGATGTATTTTCCCCCTTGCTTGCAAGTTAATGGGTCGCAGAGTCACAGTGCAACAGAGTTTTTGTGCAACAAAAGTGGGCCACAAGAGAAAATATGTCGAGAACTCTAATCACTCTTTTTTTTTGTGTTTAGAAATAATGCTTTTGTAAAGTTGTTATTTTGCTTTTAATTTTGAAGAGCAACACATTTTGTATTTAATTTTATAATAGCTTGATTATGAAAATAATCATTCAGAAACATCCTTTCATTTTGTGTTTAAGTTCAATTTTTTTTGTCCAAAATCGTCTTATGATTCTAATAATTTTTGGTGATTTTACAGTACAATGAGAATATTGTTTTCATATGAACTTGTTTTTGTCAGTTCTCAGTAATATTTCTTTGATTTTATGGCCATTTTTGAATTAGTCCTCTCTCAGAACTTGTAAATTGAAATCATTGCACTTGAAAGTTAATTAATTTTCGTTCACTCTCAACAATTTTTCTTATTGTGATGTTTAAACTTATTTTCAAGTTTTTTCAGCCCTCCCCCCCTTAGTAATTGAAACACTGTAATTTGTTATCTCAGGTTTAACTATTTAAAATATGGAAACCGTTAAAGACCATCGAGTCAGTGCTTTGCAAGATGTGCAGGACAAAGTGCTTCGATTACTAGGTAAAATGGGAGATGAGTTTGAAAGTTTGGAGAAGATTCAAGGAACAGAGACCAGTGTTGCCAGATTGCAACAGTATACAAGTGATATTCATTCAATAATTATTTCATTTGGAGAAAGATTTTCTGGTGAGTTTTTTTTCGTTCATTTGTTTTACCTGTCTTTCTGAGCATCAAATTAGTCAATATTATTTAATTTTGAAACGATTTTAAGAAAGTGGCACATATTTTCTATAAAAGCAAACCTCATTCCTAGTTTTGAAATTAATCCGTCTTAGATTTGCTTCAAATAAAAATCCTGAAACTTGAATCTTGTGTCTATAATTTTTCAGATCAAAAATATAAAGCAAAAAACCATTTCCCTGTGTAATAGTGTGAAAGGTAACTGTCATAAATTCATTTTCATATTTTTTGTTTTGGCACCGGAAAAGTTTTTGCAGAATTCATTATTTTGAACATTTCGACTTGGCTGTGTGGCGCATCGAGCTACGCTTTAGGAACACGCTTGCCACGGCACCTCTGATTACCCTGTGTCAATTTGCTGATTTCAATCCCATGCGAGGATAATTATTTGTGAGAGGATTGCTGGACTCCTCACCGCCGTAGGGTGGTTCACGTACCCGCTGGTCTATTGCAGCTTCTTCCACCATCATGTCGTTGCATCTGAAACAAAAACAAACAAACAACTGGCTAACAAATCACATACCCGACATGGACTGGTAACTGGACGAGAGTTCGTGGTTCGCCATATGATAAAGCTGTCTTATCGTCTTTTCTCTCTCCTGGGATAAATATGTAAATCCTATCTTAACCTAACAGCCATAAAAATAAACTCATTATATTTCAGATGATGTTCGGCCAATCGAATCATTTCAAAAAATCGAATTCAATGAATTATTTGAAGAGAAAGAAAGTTTTGGGAAACTGAAAGTAGATGCGAGAGGTGGATTTGGAATGGTTACGTACAAGGAATTCCGGGGTCAGAAGGTGGCAGTAAAGTTTCAAGAAATGGAGAAAAATTCAACTTTCAAACATGAAATTAAAACCTTGAGGTAATTGCTATGCACATGACCTAACCTCGGACTTCACACATCTGATCATTGTCACAGATTAGCTATCCATCATATTTATAGCCAAATTAATTAATTCAGTTAGGATAGGACTTACATATTTATCCCGGAGGTAAGCAATGCCGATGCGACGGCTCAATCGTATGGCAAACCACGATCTCTCGTCCGGTTACCAGTCTATGGTTAGCCAGTTATTCGTTTCAGATGCATGGAGTTGATGGTAAACCATTATTTGATGGTTAGGGGCAAGGGATGATGGTTTAACCCAGCAAGGGATTCGAACCTGCGAAACCATGCAGGGTAATCAGAGGTGTGGTGGCAAGTGTATTCCTAACGCTTAGCATGATGCACCACATTGCTGAGCCTGGTCACAGATTATATATCCACCATATTTAGGGCCAAACAGACTTCTCTAGTATTTTTAGATTAATCTAAATTTTGAATCAATCGTCATGGTTACTTAGATTGTTGGTGCACAAATTCATTTTTTGTCGTTGTTGAATTGTGTGACTGCTGAGCATACTTTGGCCTTGGCGTATTTATTTTTATTTTTTTTTCAAATAAAATATATACCGGTAGTTGGACTTTTTGTTATTATTTTCTTGGCCGTTGCTCGATAACCAAATTTAGTTTACCGTGGCTCCCCTCACCCTGAACTGCATTTTCAGTGTTTATTCTAATTTGTATATCAAGTGTGCTTTCAGTTTAGTGAGAAAATAAACTACTGGATTACTGAAACCGGGATCTATTTAAACTTCACCCTATTTAAAGTCACCTATATGGAATTATTTTTCCAACTCAAAGCGTTTTTATTAATATTCATAGTCAATTTGGTATCCCCTTGCGTGCGTGTACCAGGTTAGGCCATAATTTCGATTTTCCCTATTTTAGTTCTATTACAAGTTCGGGGACTGTCTGTGTTAGCCAATTGAATATACCACCTGTCCATAGGCTTCAGTTTACACAACTTGATGTGCAGTAGGCGAACGAAATTAGTTACCTCCATATTGGTACACATACTTTTGGAGCGCCGTCAATTTTGTTCACATTTTTCAACAGAACAATTTCCCATGATAACATTATCAGTTTCCGAGGTTGGGGTGAACATACTGATGCAGACGGGACTCCTTATATCTTCCTTGTGATGGAACATTTGGAAAAGAATCTGATGCAGTATGTCCTAGAGCAAGTTTCGGATGATAATAAAGGTGGGAATCGGGTTGTGATGGGTCTGATTCTGAGCTCTTTTACTTGAAGGGGTTAAGGGACGGGGTTAAAATTCGAATTTTCTGTTTTTATTTAAAGATCCAGCAGTACATGTATGAGCAGGTGTCTGATGATAATAGAAGGATTTTTAAGAGAATAAAAAGGCGTATTTGTTGCTTGTTCTAAGCCCCTGTTGTTACAATGCAATTAGTTAAAAATATTTCTTGTGATTAAATTACATAGGTAGGCAAAAAATCGCAAAATTGAAGATTTTACATATCGCTCTGAAAGTTGAATATGGTGTTGAGTGTTCGTTGCAACATGGTTTTGCTGACTAGCATAAATAAGATCATGGGATTTCTATATTCATTCTATAAAAGTGGAGAAAAAGGATTCTTTAAGATGCATTACCAATGTATGGAAGGTGTAGAGATCTGAAACTATTTTGTACAAACAAATGAAAAATGGAGAATTCTGGAGAGCGAGCAAAACCTAAAATTTAAATTTTTTTTCAAATTAAATATTTAAACCTTGGGTGTTGCTGCTCGATAACCAGCTTTGGTTCCTCGCGACTTCCCTTCCCCAGTGAAACTGTGTATTTGACTTTACCAGTTCATGTCAGGTATGGGATTGATGAAGTTTGTATGTTAAGAAATTTGAAAAGTTGGCAAACCACATTGTCTTCCTAACACCAGTTGTGCTCATGTATATACATTTATATACCTGATGGCAAATTACCTTAACCAACTGCAATTCATTCCAGGTCTCTCCTCTCGAATCACCTGGGAAATTTCGAAGCAAATTGCTCAAGCACTGAATTATCTTCACAATCTGAAACCTTCTATTGTTCATGCTGATCTGAAACCAGACAATATTTTGGTAAGTGAATTTAAAGGATAGGATTTACATACGGGAAGGGGAGAGGAAAGCCCATTAGACCGCTTAATCATATGGCGTCCAGTAACCAGTCCATGTCGGGAATGAATTAGTTAATCAGTTCTTTATTTTCCAGAGCATGGACTTGATAGTGGAGGCAGTTGTAGCTGACCAGTGGTTATGTGGACCACCCACCCGAGTAGAATGTTCAAGTTGAAAAAAAAAAACGATAAAATGTGGGTCTAGTCAAAATTTTATCCCCCTTTGATTACGGTTACGGCTTCCTCAAACATCAATTTCATGCTTCTGAAAAACGAAATAATAGCATTTTATCCAGTTACCAGCCAAGTTGCGCCTGGGAATATTTGACCAGGTTTCGGTCTCCGACCGATATTCTCGCTCGTTTCTTATTCACAGACTTGATATATACTTCATTCCAGGTCGACACTAAGCTTATTATTCCCAAACCAAAGATTATTGACTTTGGCCACTCTCGTCACGATTCTTTAGTACACTCTGAAGAACAGATGGATCAGGATGAGAACAGTTCTATTGATACACGAAAAGTAAGTCACATCGTATTTTTCCGAACATAGGACCTAGCCTGAAAATAAGACCTTGCCTGAATTTTAAAAATGATCCCAATATAAGTTCTCCTGTTATATATAGGTAAATGGATATAGGTTTTCATATTTTGTATATTTTAAAATCTCGTAATTCGCTACTTCGTAATTTTGTTTTTGATAAATGAAAATAAAAGATCTAGTGATACCGTATTTTTCAGAAGAAAATTAAAATAGGACCCTGTCTTAGTTTCGGGGAAACACGTGGCATGAGTGAGGTTACTGCTTAGCATATATGACTCGAATCAAGATATTCACTTAATGGAATACTTTGTCGAATGATATTTTCAAAGATTGAATTATTCTGAATTTCTCAAACTCAAAACTCGGGGTCCTCAAACTTTTGGTGTTAAGAAGCCCTTGAAAAGGTTGACTATTATGTACAGAACTCCACAATAAATTTATAAAGATTAAAAAAAAGATATTTGCCCATAACCTTTCTGGAATCCATCTTTATTTTTTTCAATCATTCAGGGCCACAAGAGATACCGTCCCTCAGAAGCAGAACTTGAGAAAGTTCAGGGTATTGAAGATATGAAAAAGGTGGATGTACATGGTTATGGTCTCACCATTCTCTTCATGAGAACCGGCACCTCACCGTACCCTGAGGACCAGACTCGTGAATTGAAAAGTATGTTTTGGATACTAAATTGGCTATAGCATTCATAATGTAGGTATTGGGCACGAAGAAGACATTTAGATCGTTTTGCAAAATTGTTGTTTGTTGTAAAAAAATCGTTTCTCTGTGCAACTGATGTAAATTTCGCATTCTGTTCGAGTGTGAGTGCGCATATAAGCCGACCCTTTTGTGCGTTTAAAGTTATGCGCATATAAGACAAATTTCTAGTGCGATCAAAGTTATGCATGTATATGTTGACCCTTTAGTGCTATTAGAGTTATGCTAGTTTAAGCTGACCCTTTCGTTTGGTAACTTTATTTTTAGTTTTAAACTCGGTTTATATGCAATGTACGGTTTTTCAATTTAAATTACATTAAAATTATAAACATCAAACAAAGAAAAGCTTTATGATATAGGCACTTAATCACATGGCAAACCATGACTTATCAAGCAGCAGAATGATCGATGTAGCCATTTGTACTTTTCTCTCATCGTTAATTTTGACATGTTTAATTAGTTGATGAGGCCATAGTTCCCCACGTCAGGGGTTCTCAAACTTTTGATGTTATAGATCCAGTGAAAAGAAAGACTATTATTCACGGAGGCCCGCATTAATTTTATAAAACGAAAAAAAACTTTGTTGGAACATTGTTTTATGAATGACGTTACTGTTATTGCTTTTTTGGCAGTTACAAAATTAGCCAAGTCAGTAATTTAATAAGTAAACGTATAGCTCACTAAGCCCTAAGGTTTCTCTTATAGGACCTTCGGGCTCTGTACAGGTAGGATAGGATTTACATATTTATCCTGGGGTGGGGAAAAGCCGATGAGTCAGCTTAACCATATGGCAAACCACGACCTCTCGTCCGGTTACTATTCCATGTCGGGTATGGGTTCAGTTAGTTAGTTGTTTTCGGAAGCATGGAGTCGACCAGCCGTTACCTGAACCCCCTACAGTGGCGAGGAGTCTAGCAATCCTCTCACACATAACCATCCCTGCATAGGATTCGAAACTGCGAACCCACGCAGGGTAATTAGAGGTGCGGTGGCAAGAATATTCCTAACGCTTTGCACGATGAGCCACATCGCCGCACCACGCATGATTAAGCCTTTTTGGCTTTCCACTTCCTGGGATATAGTATAAATAGAAAAATCTTTCGTGAGACTCTCCGCTTGATTCATTCTCAGGTGCTCGCATGAGTTCTCCGGTGAAAAGGTTAAAAGGAAAGATCTACATAAGAAAAGTTACACTTCCTGATCTACCTGATACTCTGCTTGGTAAACTCATCCTGGATTGTTGCGAGGTGAGTTCATTGGTGAACTTTGTTTCTTGGTTTATTTCTGTGTCAACAGCCAATCAGTAAAATGTCAATGATGCAGCAAATATATAAATATGCTGATTCTTCAATGTCAAAAATTCTAACAGTTTGCCTAGCTGGGGAGTTTTCACTCGGCCCATGTTACATATGAAGCTGCTGTTTTTGGAGGGGCCGGAATGTTTCTGCTTCAGCATTGCCTACCATATTTATTACACACTATAAATATGCAAATCCTATTCCAGTGAGAATGGCAATTGAATCAGAGATCTTTAACTTGTGATACCAGCATAGGTATGCCCAACACTCAAACCCAGTCCAAGAACTAACTTTAACTAAAACAGGTTTTCCAGCATTTTGTATGCAATTCAAAGTTAAGATTAGCAATGGAAATAGGAACCTCAAAGCTTGGCGGTGTGGCGCATTGTGCTAAGCATTAGGAATACGCTCGCCACCGCACCACTAATTACCCTGCGTGGGTTCGCAGGTTTATATCCCATGCAGGGTTGAAAATGTGCTAGAGGATTGCTGGACTCCTCGTGGCGTGGGGTATCTCACGTAACCTCCACCATGCATCTGAAAACAAGTAATTGACTAACTAATTCTATACCAGGGTTTTCCACATGATTAAGCCATCTTATCTCCTTTCCTCTCCCCCAGGATGATTATGTAAATCTTATTCTTTACTAAGCAGAGCTCAAACTAACACAAAGATGATCCTACTTTTAAAATGAGTTTTTGAATAAGTAGTAACTGGTATATTCTTGAGGACTAGAGTTTTCCTAATTTGATTATTCACTCAATTTGTAACACCTAGTGCAGTGGTTCCCAAAGTTGAGATACCGAGACCCAGAATTAGAAGCTGAAGGATATTTGGGGGCCGGAAGAGTGGAGCGCAAGGGGCATATGTACAATTAGGTTATTGGTGCAATTGAATTGTTTCGAATACACACATATAATATAAACGCTAAAATTGTGATAATGACATATCAATTGGCGGCAAACGTTGAAAGGTATTTCACTCATGTTCGGCGGATCATATTCAATTATCCGTAATTAGCCCGCAGTTTGGAAACCATTGACCTAGTGTGAGGTGGAATCATTTGGTGTTCAGTCTTGAGTCAATTGTAGAGGAAATTTAAGAGCCCTGGAACCATTGAGCTATATGTTTTGTAGTCCCACTCACATATTGTAGATATATTATGAACAATTTTGGTTTATTTCAGAATGCCGAGAAACGTCCAACATTTGCTAAAATCCTGAAGACTTATTTCGGGAAAGAAATGAAAAATCCATTCAATTTGGCTGAGAAAGGAGAATTCTTTGAATGTGGTTTCCTGAAGGATACTCAGATATTTGTGGCAGACTCTATGGTTGAAGACACAGAGGTATGTTGATCCAGTGATTAACTCGATGACTTTGCTTGCATGTTTTGAACACAATCACGTGTAATGTTGTACTGAAATATTTGTTATTATCTCTTCATCATTTTTTAAGGCTTCCTCCACAATCAATTTCATGCATCTAAAAACGAATACCTGGCCAACTAATCCCAAACCTAACATGCACTGGTAATCGAACAAGAGACTGTGGTTCGCCATATGATTATGCCACTCATATCGGCTTTCCTCTTCCTCATCTAAATCCTATCTTATATTCAATTTCTATATTCCAGATTAAAAAATACAAGGGTTCGGAATCACCACCTGGCTACAGAAGGTAAGAGGTTTTGGCGCGGCGGTGTGGCTCATTGTGCTAAGCGTTAGGAATACGCTCGCCACCGCACCTTTAATTACTCTGCGTGGGTTCGCAGGTTCGAATCCCATGCAGGGATGGTTATGTGCGAGAGGATTGCTGGACTCCTCGCCGCCGTTGGGTGGTTCACGTAACCGCTGGTCGGTTACGGCTTCCTCCACCATCAAGTCCATGCTTCGGAAAAACAAATACCTAACTAATCCCATACCCGACATGGAATGGTAACCGGACGAGAGGACATGGTTCGCCATATGGTTAAGCCGTCAAATCGGCTTTCCTCTCCCCCGGGATAAATATGTAAATCTTATCCTTATTTTATAGGATAGGATATTCCCATGCTTATCATGGGAAAAAAGAAATATGATAAGATTGCCTGAGAACATGGTTATAAACCATGAATGAGGTTTCCAAACTAAGTTAACATAAATTTGTAACGAGAAAACGTAACTCATAGATGTGGATATCTTTAAGGATATGTTTCATCGCGTTAGGTGTTAAAAAATCGCTCTTGCATATGTACCTCTGATTACTTTGCATGACCTTGCTGGTTTGTATTCTGTGGGGGATAATTAACTGATCGAGCCGCATTATCGTCTTTTCTCTTCCCTGAAAAAAATAATCGATTACATGAAGTTACATATAGCCATATAGTTACATAACCTAGTCAAGTAACTTCTAAGAGGTTTTTGTTTTACAGAGAAGATCTGATCTGTGGTGTGGAGATTGTCAACAAGCCTTACCATGATAAACCGGATGATAAGGAGGAACTCAGAAAGAAATATTTGGAGGTGAATTTTCAATGCCACAGAATGAGATACTTAAAATCGTTTGAGAATCGCTGGTGTTATAACTATACTGACTAACTATTTTTCTTCAGCACTACAGAAAATTCTGTAAACAGGCGAAAGCAAAGGAGATAGATGATAATCCAGCTGTTGCGTTAAGTAAAGTCATAACAGAGAGATCTGGTGATGAAGAAACGCAGAAAATTGAACTGGAGTAAGTGCTTTTTGCTAGGCACTCGGCTCTCAAAAACTCTGAAAAAGCAACTATTGAAAATTACAAATTTGCCAAATTGTTTGGGAAAATTTTTTGCTTTTAATGCTGTCCTACGCAAGCAGCCTTATAAGTTATACTTAGGATAGGATAAGATTTACATATTTATTCCAGAGGAAAGAGATAAGACGGCTTAATCGTATGATGATGAACGGCCTCTCGTTACCATTCCATTTGAGTTATGGAATTAGTTGGCCAGTAATACGTTTCAGCTGCATGGACTTGATGCTGGAGAAAGCCGTAACCTCCAGCGGTTATGTGAACCACCCTGCGACGACGAGGAGTTCAGCAATCCTCCCACACATACTTCACCTCACATGGGATTCGAACCTGCGAGCTACTATGTTTTTTTTTAGATGTTAAACTTTGAACAAAGCTTGGCATAAGCTGTCATTGATATGTACACACATACATAATTTTCTAGATACAAGGAAAAGACATACTGTCACCATCGAGCAATGAGAGAAATCTGGCGTGATTTTGATACTCCAGATAAAGTAAAACTGTTGCCATGTTTGAGTGAGGTTCACCCATTGTACAGCACATCATTTGGACTTCATGTTGCTATACTCACCAATGAAGGACCTGGCAACACTAAAAAGTTTGTTTTCACAAGAAGATCTAATAAGCCAGGTAATGAATATTTTCTTATTTCTGATTATTTATTTTTGTGTAGAGGAGGGGGAGGGGGTAAAAATGGTGCTCTGCGGGCACCTTTTTGTGAATCTCAGCTGTACGTAACCTAATGTTTCATTTACAATATAAGAGGCATTAATGTGATGGATGAGGTTGCTTCTTACTACACAATATATCAATTCTCAGGACAATTTCTGTCAAGCAAACTCGTAGGTCCTACTCTTCGGCAATCATCATCTGTATTTTGTTATCATATTGGTTAGAGCTGAAAATGCTGCCTCACACATGTAGGTCGTTGCAGAAGACAATATAATTTTAATTGTCTTTTCTAGGATAAATTGATATCCGCCCAACTATAAAGATGCAATGACTTTTTGTCTGACATCAATCATTAAATATCGATCAGAATCTTTTCATATCGTTGCAGACCCCTTGTGCAGTCTTCAGGTCGCCTCGATTGTAATTTTTTCTTATATTCTTTTGCTAGTTTTTCTACTTTTTTATGCTATTATCAATTACTGTTAGGTTTTTTTCACGGGTGTCGCTGCTCGATAACCAGTCTTGGTTTCTCGCGACTCCTTTTCACCTCGGCTTACCAGTTTCGCCTCTCTACATACTGTATTAATTAGTGTAATTTACTTCATGTATGGTGGATAAAATAAACTATCGATTACTGTTTACGGGCCCCAGTTTGGAAAACCCTACCCTAGCATATTGCGGAATCAGTGGCGGCTTGCGGCCTTGTTAAGAATGGAGGGAATGAGAAACGCCACATAAAAACATCTTATCTGCTTTTGATAAAATAAAAACCTTCTTCTGAAATTTGAGTACTCCCATAGTGTGTGTACCAGTATTTTGATTTTTAATATTTAAGTTATGTTACGAGTTCGGGGACTGTCTTTGTTAGCCAAGTGAATATGCTCTCTGCTCATAAGTTTTGGTCCCTTACTACAACTAGATGTAAAGTGGGCAAACAAAATTAGTTACCTCCATATTGGTACACACACTTCTGGAGTGTCGAAATTGGACTTAGTTTGTCTTAAATTAAAGCTTATGTAATTTCCAAACAGGTATGGCGACTCCGGGATCCTACACATGTGGGGCAGTAGAGAGTTGCTCTATTAAAGATTACTTAGATTCTGAGAAAACTAAAGAATTCATTGCAAAGAGAAGAGCTTTGAGAGAAGAAGAGAGAAATAATGAGGTGTGTAGCATATTTAAAACTTGTCCAGGGAGAGAGAAATTGATAATATTGGCTCGGTGGTGTGGCGCATCGTGCTAAGCTTTATGAACTTGCTCGCCACCACATATATGATCACCCTGTGTGGGTTTGCAGGTTAGAATCCTGTGGGGAATATTTATGTGCAAGAGAATTTCTTGACTCCTCGCCACTTTAGGGTGGTTCTGGCGGCTCAGTTACGGCCAGTTCATTTCAATATTCACTGGTTACTGAAATAAGTTGTGTCTAAGTATTGTTACTTGAACCACTCCATAAATTTTGTGGCCTGATTTTCTGACACCCAGCAAGAGAAAACATTTGGTTTCATGTTGTGATCATTGTGTTTGTGTAGGATAGGAGTGTGGAAGCTTTAATACAGGAGGGCCAGATACAAAAATAACTGGATGAAAAGGCGGGCCACGTTTATGTTAAACATAGGCTTCTGTTAGTTGCAGGCACATGAATTTTGGTTATTGATCCCATGACATGCGTTGTTCGCTTTTTTCAAGTTAGCTGTTAGGGCATTGTAACGTCATTTGCACTTCTCTGCTTGCCCCAAAATTTTTCCTTGTGGACCACATTTGGCCCGCGGACTGCAGGTTGCACACCCCCCAGTGTAGGACTATTTTAGTAATTAACGACCTTTTTTTGATTTGAAGTAAATTTAGTTACAATTATAGCATTACAGTGAATATAGTTCTTCGAATATCCCACACTTTGACACTCTTTCAGTAGGTGTAGATGAAATTGTGTCCGCTCATTTTTAATTGTTGCAACATTTTTCAACTTTTTTTTTTCCCATAGAATACCAGCAAAAAAATCTTGAATTTTAAATTTGTATGTTTCCAAGGTTTATGAAACTGCGGAGGAAAGGGAAGCAGCTGAAACAAAAGAACAGGAAGAAAGGGAAAGAGAAGAACAACTTGCGTACGTGTCTCTAGTTGATACTGCTGCAAGAGGATTGGAAGAGGTATTATCTTTGAGCAATTTGAATGAAAACAAGCGATGCGTTCAGTACAATGGCTTATTGATTGGATCGTTGTAATGATTGAACCATCTATGTTGATATCCCATGACCAGAGTATAATAAATCAGCAGAGAAGGTTGGACCAAAAAGATTCCCTTCCAAGCAATGAAAGCTCCTTATCTGGTACTGTACCAGGCTAGGGTTAGGCCATAATTTTATTTCGATTTTCCTTATTTTACTTCTATTACGAGTTCGGGGACTGTCTGTGTTAGCCAAGTGGATATACCCCCTGCCCATAGGTTTCAGTTCCTTTATACAAATTTATGTGAAGTAGACGAACAAAACTAGTTGCCTCAATATTGATATTACGAGACGAATAAACATACATACACACACATACTTCTGGAGTACCACTTATCTACCTATGAAGATTTTACAGAGGCTTGTTTGAGTGAAAGCGCATAAATATGTCTAAAAAAGATATATTTTCTGATAATTTTCTTTTTTGTCAGGAACTGGGGTTACCTCTTCAGGGAAGTGACAAAGACGCGATCACCTTGAACACAATTTATCTGAAGTTTGACAATCATGAGTGGGGGATGTGTGGCTTTGTCGATTTGACTAATGAAAAGGTGGGTGAACCTTAAAATGGTATTTAATATTTAGAGGGGGGGGAAGATGATTAAGTGGTTTAAATAGAATTACCATTTTTTATTTGGTACTCTCGTAGTGTGTGTGTAACTGGTTAGGGTAACAGGTTAGGCCATAATTTTATTCCGATTTTCCTCATTTTAGTTCTATGACGAGTTCGGGGACTGTCTGTGTATGCCAAGTGAATATACCCCTGCCCATAAGTTTCATTCCCTTTACACAATTGATGTAAAATAGGCGAACAAAATTAATTACCTCTTTGTTGGTACACGCCTGTCATTTTTGGAGTGAGGAAATCTAATAAGCTGGCTTAGGATAGGACTTTGATATTTCTCCCGGAAGAGAAGAAAAAGGGATAAAACAGCTTAAGATAGGATTTTCTATTTCTTTCCCAAAAGTAATGGCGATATGACAATTTTAATCATACGACCGTTACAGCCTCCCTGGTAACTATTCCCATGGTATCTGAGTTACACAATGTGCCAAATGTCGAGCTTCAGTTAGTTTTATCCATCTCAAATCAGTATTCTTTCAGATATGCACTAAAACCTCATTTTTCACATGGGCTAGGATTTACCCCGTGGGGACTATAAGACGGCCCAATCATATGGTTAACCACGCTCCTCATCCAGTTACTAGTCCATGTTGGCTATGGGATTAGGTGACTAGTTATTTGTTTTAGGACGCATGAACTTGAGGGTGGAGTAATCTGTAGCCGACCAGCGGTCACATGAACCACCCCACGTCAGTGAGGAGTTCAGCAATTCTCTCGCGCTTAATTCGAATTCTTATGAATTCGAACCTGCGCAAGGCAACCAGAGGTGCGGTGGCAAGCGTATTCCTGAAGCTTAGCACGATGTGCCACACACCGAGCATAACCTAATTAGCCAACCAATAAACCAGATGTCCTTTATTCTATCTTTCTTTCAGATTCGTGAAGAAAACCGGTTCAGCTTTTCCAAATTGAACGCAGCATTTACCAGCGGTCCTAAAGATAAATTTGAGCATTGGCAAATCCATGGAGTTGATTTTGAGCTCCGTACTATGGTTGAATGGATACGAGAGAATCATGATAAACTTGCAAGCTCAGCAAAAATTGTCGTTGTCAAAGTTCTTCAAGCTTTCTTTGGTGTTGCTGATGTTATTGATGCCTTTGAAAGGAAAATGTCCTAAAATGGGTCAAACTCAAGTTCATGTATCTGAAAACTAATACCAGTAACTAGCTAACTAATCCCATACCCGACACGGACTGGTAACTGGACGAGAGGCCGTGGTTCGCCATATGGTTAAGCCGTCTTATAGGCTTTCCTTTCCCCTGGGATAATTATGTAAAAAAAGCTATTTTTTCTATGGCTTTCAGGATTCGTTTTTAAAATTCTATCAATTACACCAAGGCTTTCCAAAGTTTTTTAAGCTTGCGACCCCCCCCCCTCCTCCTTTTACGCGAACCTTTGTAAGCCGGCATTGTTATGCAATCATTCCTCTGATCTTATGTATTTTCTCGAAATCGTGAGACTTAAGTTTTGCACAAGCCTAAAAAAGTATGATAGATATAGTTCTTTTTTGCGACCCCTAAAGTTCGTTTTGTGCCCCCCCTGCCCATTCGTGACCACCAGTTTTGGGAAGCCTTGATTTATTCAATACTATATACTGCAATGATCCCAATTCCTCGTTATATTTGGTTTATATTTTGACATCAACATCATGCAAGAAGGCAGGAACAGCTTTCAGACTTTAAAATGAAAGCTATTATTCTATTTGAAAGTGAAAATCCGTCTTGGTGACTGACAAAATGAGTAGCTGTGTTACCGAATTTTTGTTTTCTGTTTTTCTAGCGGTTACCCTGTATATACTGCAATAATCCCAACCTTTTCAACACATTCCTTGCTTTGCCCTTATGTAAATCTTCTTTCCTCCAGCGTCCCCAATTACCTTGCTTACTATGCATAAAATATTCCATTACCATTTGTTGCTTGTTCTTTAACAGGTTGTTAGGCAGTGATGTTCACAACTTTCTATCTGGTACAACTTGACTAGTTTATAATGTGTGACTAAATATTTAGTAATCGGTAATTTATTTTTTTCGCCATGTTAAAAAAGCACTTTCGACATACAAATTACAATGAATCATAAAAAATCGCATTTCAGGGTGAAGGAAACGTGGAAACCACCAATACTAGTTATTAAGCAGCGCCACCCATTAAGAAAGTCTAACAAAACATGATAAAAAAGTGAAAAAGCCGAACTATATATGAAAAAAACAACACAAAATACGTCTAGGCGACCTGCTACATCCAGCAGTCGTATGTTTCAACAAAATTAAAACGAGATAGCGATCAGAGACCGCCGACTTATCGATCTAGCGGCGTGTATCCTTCGCTGTGACTCAATGGAGACACTGCGTGTCCCATCACTAATTAATTAATAACTCGCTAATTATACGACATAATTCATCCAAAATCAATAGGCTTCTGGTCCGAAATATGATGGATGCACATGCAAATTTGGAGCAGATTTAACCTCGCTTTTAGGATATATCGCGTAACATACGAAAGTGTCTAACAGACAGACAGACAAATACCTATCAACATACTTACCGATCAAGGTCGATAAGTAATGACTCCTAGCTAGCATCGACCGTCAAGGTACCCATGTTAACCAAGGTGAATGTTTTGATAAAACCAAATAAGTCAATAATATTAGATTGACTGAAAGAATATTACATACATCTATGTTTTTTTTTCAAAAACATGTTTACTTCGACTTTATTCTATTTATCATGTTATGTTAGACTTTCCCAACGGATGCCGGCGCTTGATTACCAGTATTGGTTTTTGGCTTCTCCTTTCACCTTGAAATGCGATTTTTTTAAATTTTTTGTTTAATTTGTGTATGTATAGTTCGTATTTTCAGCATGATGAAGAAATAAATTACTGAAGACCTTTAATACTGCATGGGATTTTGATTTTCCTGAAATGTAATCAATTACTTAATACTAATCATGTTCCATCCCATTTTGGATTTTTATAATTTTTTATTTGCTCTTACACTAACTAACATCAGTGAATAAATACCATAATCAAACAGACTTGATTTTTTTTCAAATCTTTTGCTGACACATCATGAACTGATATATACTCTGCAGGGAGAGGTGTGGAGGTTTCAATAATGGATTGAAGTCCGATTGATTTAAGTACCACTAAGACAGGGTGGGCAAAATACAGCGCGCGGGCAGGATCCAGCTCGCCGAAGTATTTCATCCGACCCCCTTGTGCCTGTAGAGTTTACGACTACAGTATATATCGTTTTTATAAATGTAAATTTGCGTTGAAACTAACGAGTCGTCGGCTAAGATATAGACATGTGTTATCTGCACCTGTAAATAATGTGGAAAGCCAGCCACCTGATGACCCGATTGCTATACTATTCTGTTTGTTATATAAACCTTAGTCTAGGTTTGGACTTATTTTTCTACCAACATTCCCTCTGCAGCTGCCGTAATTTGCCAGCCACTGTAACAAATCCATCAGTATGAGTGGGAAACGCAATGTGGATTCCGAATGACATTTTTAACAAGAAATCGAGAGACGTATTTTTTAAAACAATATTCACCTGCCTGCTTAATTTGTAATGAAGGGTTTTCGGTGTTTGGTAAGTGGTAAGGGATTCGAATCTGCGAAACCATGCAGGGTAATCAGAGGTGTGGTGGCAAGCGAATTCCTAACGCTTATCATGATGCGCCACATCGCCGAGCCTGGTCACAGATTATATATCCACCATATTTAGAGCCAAACAGACTTCTCTAGTATTTTTAGATTAATCTAAATTTTGAATCAATCGTCATGGTTACTTAGATTGTTGGTGCACAAATTCATTTTTTTGTCGTTGTTGAATTGTGTGACTGCTGAGCATACTTTGGCCTTGGCGTATTTATTTTTATTTCAAATAAAATATATACTGGTAGTTGGACTTTTTGTTATTATTTTCTTGGCCGCTGCTCGATAACCAAATTTAGTTTACCGTGGCTCCCCTCACCCTGAACTGCTTTTTCAGTGTTTATTCTAATTTGTATATCAAGTGTGCTTTCAGTTTAGTGGGTTCTATTTAAACTTCACCCTATTTAAAGTCACCTATATGGAATTATTTTTCCAACTCAAAGCGTTTTTATTAATATTCATAGTCAATTTGGTATCCCCTTGCGTGCGTGTACCAGGTTAGGCCATAATTTCGATTTTCCCTATTTTAGTTCTATTACAAGTTCGGGGACTGTCTGTGTTAGCCAATTGAATATACCACCTGTCCATAGGCTTCAGTTTACACAACTTGATGTGCAGTAGGCGAACGAAATTAGTTACCTCCATATTGGTACACATACTTCTGGATCGTCGTCAATTTTGTTCATGTTTTTCAACAGAACAATTTCCCATGATAACATTATCAGTTTCCGAGGTTGGGGTGAACATACTGATGCAAACGGGACTCCTTATATCTTCCTTGTGATGGAACATTTGGAAAAGAATCTGATGCAGTATGTCCTAGAGCAAGTTTCGGATGATAATAAAGGTGGGAATCGGGTTGTGATGGGTCTGATTCTGAGCTCTTTTACTTGAAGGGGTTTAGGGACGGGGTTAAAATTCGAATTTTCTATTTTTATTTAAAGATCTAGCAGTACGTGTATGAGCAGGTGTCTGATGATAATAGAAGGATTTTTAAGAGAATAAAAAGGCGTATTTGTTGCTTGTTCTAAGCCCCTGTTGTTAGAATGCAATTAGTTAAAAATATTTCTTGTGATTAAATTACATAGGTAGGCAAAAAATCGCAAAATTGAAGATTTTACATATCGCTCTGAAAGTTGAATATGGGGTTGAGAGTTCGTTCCAACATGGTTTGCATGGTTGCATCATGGGATTTCTATATTTATTCTATAAAAGTGGAGAAAAAGGATTCTTTAAGAAGCATTTCCAATGTATGGAAGGTGTAGGGATCTGAAACTATTTTGTACAAACAAATGAAAAATGGAGAATTCTGGAGAGCGAGCAAAACCTAAAATTTAAATTTTTTTTCAAATTAAATATTTAAACCTTGGGTGTTGCTGCTCGATAACCAGCTTTGGTTCCTCGCGACTTCCCTTCCCCAGTGAAACTGTGTATTTGACTTTACCAGTTCATGTCAGGTATGGGATTGATGAAGTTTGTATGTTAAGAAATTTGAAAAGTTGGCAAACCACATTGTCTTCCTAACACCAGTTGTGCTCATGTATATACATTTATATACCTGATGGCAAATTACCTTAACCAACTGCAATTCATTCCAGGTCTCTCCTCTCGAATCACCTGGGAAATTTCGAAGCAAATTGCTCAAGCACTGAATTATCTTCACAATCTGAAACCTTCTATTGTTCATGCTGATCTGAAACCAGACAATATTTTGGTAAGTGAATTTAAAGGATAGGATTTACATACGGGGAAGGGGAGAGGAAAGCCCATTAGACCGCTTAATCATATGGCGTCCAGTAACCAGTCCATGTCGGGAATGAATTAGTTAATCAGTTCTTTATTTTCCAGAGCATGGACTTGATAGTGGAGGCAGTTGTAGCTGACCAGTGGTTATGTGGACCACCCACCCGAGTAGAATGTTCAAGTTGAAAAAAAAAAACGATAAAATGTGGGTCTAGTCAAAATTTTATCCCCCTTTGATTACGGTTACGGCTTCCTCAAACATCAATTTCATGCTTCTGAAAAACGAAATAATAGCATTTTATCCAGTTACCAGCCAAGTTGCGCCTGGGAATATTTGACCAGGTTTCGGTCTCCGACCGATATTCTCGCTCGTTTCTTATTCACAGACTTGATATATACTTCATTCCAGGTCGACACTAAGCTTATTATTCCCAAACCAAAGATTATTGACTTTGGCCACTCTCGTCACGATTCTTTAGTACACTCTGAAGAACAGATGGATCAGGATGAGAACAGTTCTATTGATACACGAAAAGTAAGTCACATCGTATTTTTCCGAACATAGGACCTAGCCTGAAAATAAGACCTTGCCTGAATTTTAAAAATGATCCCAATATAAGTTCTCCTGTTATATATAGGTAAATGGATATAGGTTTTCATATTTTGTATATTTTAAAATCTCGTAATTCGCTACTTCGTAATTTTGTTTTTGATAAATGAAAATAAAAGATCTAGTGATACCGTATTTTTCAGAAGAAAATTAAAATAGGACCCTGTCTTAGTTTCGGGGAAACACGTGGCATGAGTGAGGTTACTGCTTAGCATATATGACTCGAATCAAGATATTCACTTAATGGAATACTTTGTCGAATGATATTTTCAAAGATTGAATTATTCTGAATTTCTCAAACTCAAAACTCGGGGTCCTCAAACTTTTGGTGTTAAGAAGCCCTTGAAAAGGTTGACTATTATGTACAGAACTCCACAATAAATTTATAAAGATTAAAAAAAAGATATTTGCCCATAACCTTTCTGGAATCCATCTTTATTTTTTTCAATCATTCAGGGCCACAAGAGATACCGTCCCTCAGAAGCAGAACTTGAGAAAGTTCAGGGTATTGAAGATATGAAAAAGGTGGATGTACATGGTTATGGTCTCACCATTCTCTTCATGAGAACCGGCACCTCACCGTACCCTGAGGACCAGACTCGTGAATTGAAAAGTATGTGTTGGATACTAAATTGGCTATAGCATTCATAATGTAGGTATTGGGCACGAAGAAGACATTTAGATCGTTTTGCAAAATTGTTGTTTGTTGTAAAAAAATCGTTTCTCTGTGCAACTGATGTAAATTTCGCATTCTGTTCGAGTGTGAGTGCGCATATAAGCCGACCCTTTTGTGCGTTTAAAGTTATGCGCATATAAGACAAATTTCTAGTGCGATCAAAGTTATGCATGTATATGTTGACCCTTTAGTGCTATTAGAGTTATGCTAGTTTAAGCTGACCCTTTCGTTTGGTAACTTTATTTTTAGTTTTAAACTCGGTTTATATGCAATGTACGGTTTTTCAATTTAAATTACATTAAAATTATAAACATCAAACAAAGAAAAGCTTTATGATATAGGCACTTAATCACATGGCAAACCATGACTTATCAAGCAGCAGAATGATCGATGTAGCCATTTGTACTTTTCTCTCATCGTTAATTTTGACATGTTTAATTAGTTGATGAGGCCATAGTTCCCCACGTCAGGGGTTCTCAAACTTTTGATGTTATAGATCCAGTGAAAAGAAAGACTATTATTCACGGAGGCCCGCATTAATTTTATAAAACGAAAAAAAACTTTGTTGGAACATTGTTTTATGAATGACGTTACTGTTATTGCTTTTTTGGCAGTTACAAAATTAGCCAAGTCAGTAATTTAATAAGTAAACGTATAGCTCACTAAGCCCTAAGGTTTCTCTTATAGGACCTTCGGGCTCTGTACAGGTAGGATAGGATTTACATATTTATCCTGGGGTGGGGAAAAGCCGATGAGTCAGCTTAACCATATGGCAAACCACGACCTCTCGTCCGGTTACTATTCCATGTCGGGTATGGGTTCAGTTAGTTAGTTGTTTTCGGAAGCATGGAGTCGACCAGCCGTTACCTGAACCCCCTACAGTGGCGAGGAGTCTAGCAATCCTCTCACACATAACCATCCCTGCATAGGATTCGAAACTGCGAACCCACGCAGGGTAATTAGAGGTGCGGTGGCAAGAATATTCCTAACGCTTTGCACGATGAGCCACATCGCCGCACCACGCATGATTAAGCCTTTTTGGCTTTCCACTTCCTGGGATATAGTATAAATAGAAAAATCTTTCGTGAGACTCTCCGCTTGATTCATTCTCAGGTGCTCGCATGAGTTCTCCGGTGAAAAGGTTAAAAGGAAAGATCTACATAAGAAAAGTTACACTTCCTGATCTACCTGATACTCTGCTTGGTAAACTCATCCTGGATTGTTGCGAGGTGAGTTCATTGGTGAACTTTGTTTCTTGGTTTATTTCTGTGTCAACAGCCAATCAGTAAAATGTCAATGATGCAGCAAATATATAAATATGCTGATTCTTCAATGTCAAAAATTCTAACAGTTTGCCTAGCTGGGGAGTTTTCACTCGGCCCATGTTACATATGAAGCTGCTGTTTTTGGAGGGGCCGGAATGTTTCTGCTTCAGCATTGCCTACCATATTTATTACACACTATAAATATGCAAATCCTATTCCAGTGAGAATGGCAATTGAATCAGAGATCTTTAACTTGTGATACCAGCATAGGTATGCCCAACACTCAAACCCAGTCCAAGAACTAACTTTAACTAAAACAGGTTTTCCAGCATTTTGTATGCAATTCAAAGTTAAGATTAGCAATGGAAATAGGAACCTCAAAGCTTGGCGGTGTGGCGCATTGTGCTAAGCATTAGGAATACGCTCGCCACCGCACCACTAATTACCCTGCGTGGGTTCGCAGGTTTAAATCCCATGCAGGGTTGAAAATGTGCTAGAGGATTGCTGGACTCCTCGTGGCGTGGGGTATCTCACGTAACCTCCACCATGCATCTGAAAACAAGTAATTGACTAACTAATTCTATACCAGGGTTTTCCACATGATTAAGCCATCTTATCTCCTTTCCTCTCCCCCAGGATGATTATGTAAATCTTATTCTTTACTAAGCAGAGCTCAAACTAACACAAAGATGATCCTACTTTTAAAATGAGTTTTTGAATAAGTAGTAACTGGTATATTCTTGAGGACTAGAGTTTTCCTAATTTGATTATTCACTCAATTTGTAACACCTAGTGCAGTGGTTCCCAAAGTTGAGATACCGAGACCCAGAATTAGAAGCTGAAGGATATTTGGGGGCCGGAAGAGTGGAGCGCAAGGGGCATATGTACAATTAGGTTATTGGTGCAATTGAATTGTTTCGAATACACACATATAATATAAACGCTAAAATTGTGATAATGACATATCAATTGGCGGCAAACGTTGAAAGGTATTTCACTCATGTTCGGCGGATCATATTCAATTATCCGTAATTAGCCCGCAGTTTGGAAACCATTGACCTAGTGTGAGGTGGAATCATTTGGTGTTCAGTCTTGAGTCAATTGTAGAGGAAATTTAAGAGCCCTGGAACCATTGAGCTATATGTTTTGTAGTCCCACTCACATATTGTAGATATATTATGAACAATTTTGGTTTATTTCAGAATGCCGAGAAACGTCCAACATTTGCTAAAATCCTGAAGACTTATTTCGGGAAAGAAATGAAAATCCATTCAATTTGGCTGAGAAAGGAGAATTCTTTGAATGTGGTTTCCTGAAGGATACTCAGATATTTGTGGCAGACTCTATGGTTGAAGACACAGAGGTATGTTGATCCAGTGATTAACTCGATGACTTTGCTTGCATGTTTTGAACACAATCACGTGTAATGTTGTACTGAAATATTTGTTATTATCTCTTCATCATTTTTTAAGGCTTCCTCCACAATCAATTTCATGCATCTAAAAACGAATACCTGGCCAACTAATCCCAAACCTAACATGCACTGGTAATCGAACAAGAGACTGTGGTTCGCCATATGATTATGCCACTCATATCGGCTTTCCTCTTCCTCATCTAAATCCTATCTTATATTCAATTTCTATATTCCAGATTAAAAAATACAAGGGTTCGGAATCACCACCTGGCTACAGAAGGTAAGAGGTTTTGGTGTGGCTCATCGTGCTAAGCGTTAGGAATACGCTCGCCACCGCACCTCTAATTACTCTGCGTGGGTTCGCAGGTTCGAATCCCATGCAGGGATGGTTATGTGCGAGAGGATTGCTGGACTCCTCGCCGTCGTTGGGTGGTTCACGTAACCGCTGGTCGGTTACGGCTTCCTCCACCATCAAGTCCATGCTTCGGAAAAACAAATACCTAACTAATCCCATACCCGACATGGAATGGTAACCAGAGGAGAGGACGTGGTTCGCCATATGGTTAAGCCGTCAAATCGGCTTTCCTCTCCCCCGGGATAAATATGTAAATCTTATCCTTATTTTATAGGATAGGATATTCCCATGCTTATCATGGGAAAAAAGAAATATGATAAGATTGCCTGAGAACATGGTTATAAACCATGAATGAGGTTTCCAAACTAAGTTAACATAAATTTGTAACGAGAAAACGTAACTCATAGATGTGGATATCTTTAAGGATATGTTTCATCGCGTTAGGTGTTAAAAAATCGCTCTTGCATATGTACCTCTGATTACTTTGCATGACCTTGCTGGTTTGTATTCTGTGGGGGATAATTAACTGATCGAGCCGCATTATCGTCTTTTCTCTTCCCTGAAAAAAATAATCGATTACATGAAGTTACATATAGCCATATAGTTACATAACCTAGTCAAGTAACTTCTAAGAGGTTTTTGTTTTACAGAGAAGATCTGATCTGTGGTGTGGAGATTGTCAACAAGCCTTACCATGATAAACCGGATGATAAGGAGGAACTCAGAAAGAAATATTTGGAGGTGAATTTTCAATGCCACAGAATGAGATACTTAAAATCGTTTGAGAATCGCTGGTGTTATAACTATACTGACTAACTATTTTTCTTCAGCACTACAGAAAATTCTGTAAACAGGCGAAAGCAAAGGAGATAGATGATAATCCAGCTGTTGCGTTAAGTAAAGTCATAACAGAGAGATCTGGTGATGAAGAAACGCAGAAAGTTGAACTGGAGTAAGTGCTTTTTGCTAGGCACTCGGCTCTCAAAAACTCTGAAAAAGCAACTATTGAAAATTACAAATTTGCCAAATTGTTTGGGAAAATTTTTTGCTTTTAATGCTGTCCTACGCAAGCAGCCTTATAAGTTATACTTAGGATAGGATAAGATTTACATATTTATTCCAGAGGAAAGAGATAAGACGGCTTAATCGTATGATGATGAACGGCCTCTCGTTACCATTCCATTTGAGTTATGGAATTAGTTGGCCAGTAATACGTTTCAGCTGCATGGACTTGATGCTGGAGAAAGCCGTAACCTCCAGCGGTTATGTGAACCACCCTGCGACGGCGAGGAGTTCAGCAATCCTCCCACACATACTTCACCTCACATGGGCTTCGAACCTGCGAGCTACTATGTTTTTTTTTAGATGTTCAACTTTGAACAAAGCTTGGCATAAGCTGTCATTGATATGTACACACATACATAATTTTCTAGATACAAGGAAAAGACATACTGTCACCATCGAGCAATGAGAGAAATCTGGCGTGATTTTGATACTCCAGATAAAGTAAAACTGTTGCCATGTTTGAGTGAGGTCCACCCATTGTACAGCACTTCATTTGGACTCCATGTTGCTATACTTACCAATGAAGGACCTGGCAACACTAAAAAGTTTGTTTTCACAAGAAGATCTAATAAGCCAGGTAATGAATATTTTCTTATTTCTGATTATTTATTTTTATGTAGAGGAGGGGGGAGGGGGTAAAAATGGTGCCCTGCGGGCACCTTTTTGTGAATCTCAGCTGTACGTAACCTAATGTTTCATTTACAACATAAAAGGCATTAATGTGATGGATGAAGTTGCTTCTTACTGTACAATATATCAATTCTCAGGACAATTTCTGTCAAGCAAACTCGTAGATCCTACTCTTCAGCAATCATCACCTGTATTTTGTTATCATATTGGTTAGAGCTGAAAATGCTGCCTCACACATGTAGGTCGTTGCAGAAGACAATATAATTTTGATTGTCTTTTCTAAGATAAATTGATATCCGCCCAACTATAAAGATGCAATGACTTTTTGATTGACATCAATCATTACATATCGATCAGACTCTTTTCATATCGTTGCAGACCCCTTGTGCAGTCTTCAGGTCGCCTCGATTGTAATTTTTTCTTATATTCTTTTGCTAGTTTTTCTACTTTTTTATGCTATTATCAATTACTGTTAGGTTTTTTTCACGGGTGTCGCTGCTCGATAACCAGTCTTGGTTTCTCGCGACTCCTTTTCACCTCGGCTTACCAGTTTCGCCTCTCTACATACTGTATTAATTAGTGTAATTTACTTCATGTATGGTGGATAAAATAAACTATCGATTACTGTTTACGGGCCCCAGTTTGGAAAACCCTACCCTAGCATATTGCGGAATCAGTGGCGGCTTGCGGCCTTGTTAAAAATGGAGGGAATGAGAAACGCCACATAAAAACATCTTATCTGCTTTTGATAAAATAAAAACCTTCTTCTGAAATTTGAGTACTCCCATAGTGTGTGTACCAGTATTTTGATTTTTAATATTTAAGTTATGTTACGAGTTCGGGGACTGTCTGTGTTAGCCAAGTGAATATGCTCTCTGCTCATAAGTTTTGGTCCCTTACTACAACTAGATGTAAAGTGGGCAAACAAAATTAGTTACCTCCATATTGGTACACACACTTCTGGAGTGTCGAAATTGGACTTAGTTTGTCTTAAATTAAAGCTTGTGTAATTTCCAAACAGGTATGGCGACTCCGGGATCCTACACATGTGGGGCAGTAGAGAGTTGCTCTATTAAAGATTACTTGGATTGTGAGAAAACTAAAGAATTCATTGCAAAGAGAAGAGCTTTGAGAGAAGAAGAGAGAAATAATGAGGTGTGTAGCATATTTAAAACTTGTCCAGTGAGAGAGAAATTGATAATATTGGCTCGGTGGTGTGGCGCATCGTGCTAAGCTTTATGAACTTGCTCGCCACCACATATATGATCACCCTGTGTGGGTTTGCAGGTTAGAATCCTGTGGGGGATATTTATGTGCAAGAGAATTTCTTGACTCCTCGCCACTTTAGGGTGGTTCTGGCGGCTCAGTTACGGCCAGTTCATTTCAATATTCACTGGTTACTGAAATAAGTTGTGTCTAAGTATTGTTACTTGAATCACTCCATAAATTTTGTGGCCTGATTTTCTGACACCTAGCAAGAGAAAATACTTGGTTTCATGTTGTGATCATTGTGTTTGTGTAGGATAGGAGTGTGGAAGCTTTAGTACGGGAGGGCCAGATACAAATAACTGGATGAAACGACGGGCCACATTTATGTTAAACATAGGCTTCTGTTAGTTGCAGGTACATGAATTTTGGGTATTGATCCCATGACATGCGTTGTTCGCCTTTTTTTAAGTTAGCTGTTAGGGCATCGTAACGTCATTTGCACTTCTCTGCTTGCCCCAAAATTATTCCTTGTGGACCACATTTGGCCCGCGGACTGCAGGTTGCACACTCCCCGGTGTAGGACTAGTTTAGTAATTAACGACCTTTTTTGATTTGAAGTAAATTTAGTTGCAATTATAGCATTACAGTGAATATAGATAGTTCTTCGAATATCCCACACTTTGACACTCTTTCAGTAGGTGTAGATGAAATTGTGTCCGCTCATTTTTAATTGTTGCAACATTTTTCAACTTTTTTTTTTCCCATAGAATACCAGCAAAAAAATCTTGAATTTTAAATTTGTATGTTTACAAGGTTTATGAAACTGCAGAGGAAAAGGAAGCAGCTGAAATAAAAGAACAGGAAGAAAGGGAAAGAGAAGAACAACTTGCGTATGTGTCTCTAGTTGATACTGCTGCAAGAGGATTGGAAGAGGTATTATCTTTGAGCAATTTGAATGAAAACAAGCAATGCGTTCAGTACAATGGCTTATTGATTGTTTCGTTGTAATGATTGAACCATCTATGTTGATATCCCATGACCAGAGTGTAATAAATCAGCAGAGAAGGTTGGACCAAAAAGATTCCCTTCCAAGCAATGAAAGCTCCTTATCTGGTACTCTCGTAGTATGTGTACCAGATAATGTTAGGCCATAATTTTATTTCGATTTTCCTTATTTTACTTCTATTACGAGTTCGGGGACTGTCTGTGTTAGCCAAGTGAATATACCCCCTGCCCATAGGTTTCAGTTCCTTTATACAAATTGCACATACATACACATACCCCTGCACATACATACACACACACACACACTTCTGGAGTGCCCCTTATCTACCTATGAAAATTTTACAGAGGCTTGTTTGAGTGAAAGCGAATAAATATGTCTAAAAAAGATTTTTTTTTCTGATAATTTTCTTTTTTGTCAGGAACTGGGGTTGCCTCTTCAAGGAAATGACAAAGACGCGATCACCTTGAACACGATTTATCTGAAGTTTGACAATCATGAGTGGGGGATGTGTGGCTTTGTCGATTTGACTAATGAAAAGGTGGGTTAACCTTAAAATGGTATTTAATATTTAGGGGGGGGGGGGGAAAGATGATTAAGTGGTTTAAATAGAATTAGCATTTTTTATTTGGTACTCTCGTAGTGTGTGTGTAACAGGTTAGGGTTAGGCCATAATTTTATTCCGATTTTCCTCATTTTAGTTCTATGACGAGTTCGGGGACTGTCTGTGTATGCCAAGTGAGTATACCCCTGCCCATAAGTTTCATTCCCTTTACACAATTGATGTAAAATAGGCGAACAAAATTAATTACCTCTTTGTTGGTACACGACTGTCATTTTTGGAGCGAGGAAATCTGATAAGCTGGCTTAGGATAGGACTTTGATATTTCTCCCGGAAGAGAAGAAAAAGGGATAAAACAGCTTAAGATAGGATTTTCTATTTCCCAAAAGTAATGGCGATATGACAATTTTAATCATACGACCGTTACAGCCTCCCTGGTAACTATTCCCAGGGTATCTGAGTTACACAATGTGCCAAATGTCGAGCTTCAGTTAGTTTTATTCATTCCAATTCAGTATACTTCCAGATATGCACTAAAACCTCATTTTTCACATGGGCTAGGATTTACCCCGTGGGGACTATAAGATGGCCCAATCATATGGTAAACCCCGGCTCCTCATCCAGTTACTAGTCCATGTTGGCTATGGGATTAGGTAACTAGTTATTTGTTTTAAGACGCATGAACTTGATGGTGGAGTAATCTGTAGCCGACCAGCGGTCATGTGAACCACCCCACGTCAGTGAGGAGTTCAGCAATTCTCTCGCACGTAATTCGAATTCTTATGAATTCGAACCTGCGCAAGGCAACCAGAGGTGCGGTGGCAAGCGTATTCCTGAAGCTTAGCACGATGTGCCACACACCGAGCATAACCTAGCCAACCAATAAACCAGATGTCCTTTATTCTATCTTTCTTTTCAGATTCGTGAAGAAAACCGGTTCAGCTTTTCAAAATTGAACGCAGCATTTACCAGCGGTCCTAAAGATAAATTTGAGCATTGGCAAATCCATGGAGTTGATTTTGAGCTCCGTACTATGGTTGAATGGATACGAGAGAATCATGATAAACTTGCAAGCTCAGCAAAAATTGTTGTTGTCAAAGTTCTTCAAGCTTTCTTTGGTGTTGCTGATGTTATTGATGCCTTTGAAAGGAAAATGTCCTAAAATGGGTCAAACTCAAGTTCATGTATCTGAAAACTAATACCAGTAACTAGCTAACTAATCACACACGGACTGGTAACCGGGCGAGAGGCCGTGGTTCGCCATATGGTCAAGCCGTCTTATAGGCTTTCCTTTCCCCTGGGATAATTATATAAAAAAGCTATTTTTTCTATGCCTTTCAGGATTCGTCTTTAAAATTCCAACAATTACACACCAGGGCTTCCCAAACTTTTTTAAGCTTGCGACCCCCCCCCCCTCCTCCGTTTACGCGAACCCTTGTAAGTCGGCATTGTTATGCAATCGTTTCTCTGATCTTATGTATTTTCTCGAAATCGTGAGACTTAAGTTTTGCACAAGTCTAAAAAAGTATGATAGATATAGTTCTTTTTTGCGACCCCTAAAGTTCGTTTTGTGCCCCCCCCTGCCCATTCGTGACCACCAGTTTGGGAAGCCTTGATTTATTCAATACTATATACTGCAATGATCCCAATTCCTCATTATATTTGGTTTATATTTTGACACCAACATCATGCAAGAAGGCAGGAACAGCTTTCAGACTTTAAAATGAAAGCTATTATTCTATTTGAAAGTGAAAATCCGTCTTGATGACTGACAAAATGAGTAGCTGTGTTACTGAATTTTTTTTCTGTTTTTCTAGCGGCTACCCTGTATATACTGCAATAATCCCAACCTTTTCAACACATTCCTTGCTTTGCCCTTATGTAAACTTCTTTTCTCCAGCGTCCCCGATTACCTTGCTTACTATGCATGAAATATTCTATTACCATTTGTTGCTTGTTCTTTAACAGGTTGTTAGGCAGTGATGTTCACAACTTTCTATCTGGTACAACTTGAATAGTTTATAATGTGTGACTAAATATTCAGTAATCGGTAATTTATTTTTTTCGCCATGTTAAAAAAGCACTTTCGACATACAAATTACAATGAATCATAAAAAATCGCATTTCAGGGTGAAGGAAACGTGGAAACCAATACTAGGTATTAAGCAGCGCCACCCATTAAGAAAGTCTAACAAAACATGATAAAAAAGTGAAAAAGCCGAACTATATATGAAAAAAACAACACAAAATACGTCTAGGCGACCTGCTACATCCAGCAGTTGTATGTTTCAACAAAATTAAAACGAGATAGCGATCAGAGACCGCCGACTTATCGATCTAGCGGCGTGTATCCTTCGCTGTGACTCAATGGAGACACTGCGTGTCCTATCACTAATTAATTAATAACTCGCTAATTATACGACATAATTCATCCAAAATCAATAGGCTTCTGGTCCGAGATATGATGGATGCACATGCAAATTTGGAGCAGATTTAACCTCGCTTTTAGGATATATCGCGTAACATACGAAAGTGTCTAACAGACAGACAGACAAATACTTATCAACATACTTACCGATCAAGATCGATAAGTAATGACTCCTAGCTAGCATCGACCGTCAAGGTACCCATGTTAACCAAGGTAAATGTTTTGATAAAATCAAATACGTCAATAATATTAGATTGACTGAAAGAATATTACATACATCTATGTTTTTTTCAAAAACATGTTTACTTCGACTTTATTCTATTTATCATGTTATGTTGGACTTTCCCAACGGATGCCGGCGCCCGATTACCAGTATTGGTTTTTGGCTTCTCCTTTCACCTTGAAATGCGATTTTTTTTTATTTCTTTTAATTTGTGTATGTGTAGTTTGTATTTTCAGCATGATGAAGAAATAAATTACTGAAGACCTTTGATACTGCATGAGATTTTGATTTTCCTGAAATGTAATCAATTACTTAATACTAATCATGTTCCATTCCATTTTGATTTTTATAATTTTTTAATTGCTCTTACACTAACTAACATCAGTGAATAAATACCATACCATAATCAAACAGACTTTATTTTTTTTTTAAATCTTTTGCTGACACACCGTGAACTGATATATACTCTGCAGGCAAAGGTGTAGAGGTTTCAATAATGGATTGAAGTACGATTGATTTAAGTACCACTAAGACAGGGTGGGCAAAATACAGCGCGCGGGCAGGATCTCCAGCTCGCCGAAGTATTTCATCCGGCCCACTTGTGCGTGTAGAATTTACGACTACAGTTTATATCGTTTTTATAGATATAAATTTGCGTTGAAACTAACGAGTCGTCGGCTAAGATATAGACATGTGTTATCTGCACCTGTAAATAATGTGGAAAGCCAGCCACCTGATGACCCGATTGCTATATTATTCTGTTTGTTATATAAATCTTAGTCTAGGTTTGGACTTATTTTTCTACCAACATTCTCTCTGCAGCTGCCGTAATTTGCCAGCCACTGTAACAAATCCATCAGTATGAGTGGGAAACGCAACGTGGATTCCAACGATTAACATACCGGTGGATTCCGAATGACGTTTTTTAACAAGAAATCGAGAGACGTATTTTTTAAAACAATATTCACCTGCCTGCTTAATTTGTAATGAAGGGTTTTCGGTGTTTGGAAAATATAGCATTAAGAGACCTTTTTTTGAACTAATACAGTGCAGTCGATGCGTGAAAACACGGTAATTTCCCAAGCGTAGTTTGGCTGGGATACCCTGTTGATCAACTATAATATGCATGTACATAGATAGTATGTCCATTTAAATAGAAGGGATTGGGGAGCTCCAGAAGTATGTGCACTAAGGTGGCGCACAACATGAACGTAGTATTTGTGTTCCGGTTAGCGTTCAGGTTGTGCGACTAATAATCATTTCTGGTCGATAACGATACCTCGTTCCCATGGTAACCAGGTATTCTGTTATCAAGGGCAATTGTCAAAATGCACTTTTTATCATATTCCTTACTTCTTAAATACACATGGGTTTACTTATCTTGAAAATATCCTTTTCTAACGTAATGTTTCTAACACTTGGATAGCAATACGGATGATGCCTCGTTTCCATGGCAACGAGGTATTTTCTTGGATGGCACCATATTCAAGTGCACAATTCTATCATATTTAAGGTCTTATCCGCTGGACTACAGGGGTTCACGGGAAGATTTCCAGGGGTACTTGAATGACCGTTGAGTTTTTAATTGTTGCTATATTTTAATATCCTTTACTACCAGAAGAAAATGCGTGCTGATTGAAAACCAACGCAGATTTTCCTTGATCTTGCGTTGTTGTGACGCAACAATGTGTAGGATTTATATATTTATCCCGGGGAGAGGAAAGCCGATAAGAAGGCTCAGCCATATGGCAAACCAAGGCCTCTCGTCCGGTTACCAGTCCATGTCGGGTATGGGATTTGTTTTCGGAAGCATGGACTTGATCTTGCGCAACCGCAACCGGCACATTACGGAAATAAGGAGTCCAACAATACCCTCACACATAATTATACCCACGTGGGATTCGAACCTTCGATTCATGGAGGGTAATCTAAGGTGCCACGGTAAGCGTATTCGCCTAGTGCAGGGATGAGCAACTTCTTTTGGCTCGTGCGCCAAAATCGGCTAAATTTAATGACAAAATTTTTCTACGTGCCGACCAAAACTAAAAACAATGCTTTGCTACTTTGAAAGCAAAAATACACAACAATAAACCTTTTGAACATGTGCAGACAGATTCATTGTTCGAGAAAATATCAGTCAGATAAATAGACGTGATTGCTTTTTATATTTTATATCAGTGAGACTTCTGCTGCTGCTTTACCACTGATAACTGGAAACAGAGATTCACAAGCATATGTAGATGAAAACATTGAGGGTAACGCAGTTGCAAAGTTTTTAAGAAACGAAAATATTTTGGGAATGGCATCCCAATCACGCAATAGTTTGTTTGATGCATTTCTCTCTTGCATCTCTTCCATAATCGCTTATATTTCTTTCGAAATCGATATATTACAGTAAGTTAGCAAGTAAATATGACCAACATTAGTTGTACAACTTCATAAATCAAGCAGAAATGACAATAAAGGGTGGCACAGACGAACAATATGTAAGAATGTAGAAAAAGAGAAGAATGTAGTTGAAGGGCAATCATTGAATGCTGCGCTCTTCTCGACAAAATTTCGCAAAAGCTCATTTCATGAAGGGACAAAAGGAATTTGATTAAATGAATGACTGTTAACAAACGATAATGACTAAACGAACACCTAGTTCATCAGATATTTCAGAGTCTTGAAACTTTTTACCTGAAGGAGAATGATCTTGTTTTCGAGTCCTCACTCGCGTGCCGAATAATTTGTCCACCCCTGGCCTAGTGGAATAGTTAAGGTCCTTTCGATGTCATGACTACTTCGAACATTCAAATACCTTTATATCCCAATCCAGAACACAAAATGCATCAAAAAATGTTAGGTTTCCCGAAAAACAAGAATGACAGGCTAATTTTCAAGCTGTCTTGAAAAGGCTTTTATATTCATAGATATTCCCGGCGACGACAATTTCAAACCGCCGAGATGACGAAAGGGTTATCTCGTACGTTCTTACCTGTATCATGATCACTCTTCACTGAACAATCGAGAGTATTGTTGTATACGCGTCTGGCCATTGTTTACGTGTGACGAGATGTTCCGAGAAAGTAATCAACTGCCAGACTCGTACGCGATCAGCCCATGCACTTGTCGAATGTTTATCTGGCGTGCGGTACTGCTTTGGTTTGATCTTACTGTTATAGATGAAGTCTTATGTTATGCTGTATTAAATCTTGTGTGCATCACTCACTGAGTCTTTTCTGAACTTGCGAATTTAGAACCGAAGAACATGGCGTTGTCGGCAGTGGCAATATAAGCCGTGCCATTGAATTGACCAGTGGATATTTAACGGATTACTCTTGTCGCATTTCGGATATATCTGTAACTGACTGTTATGTCAACTAAAGCTGAATTATCGAAGATGCTGGATGAAGCTAAACAGGAGTTGCAAGAAAAATCGCAGGAAATTAAACAATTGAAAGAGGAATCAACCAAACCAGTCCATGAAGTCGCGGACGGCGGTTGGTTGAAGCAGTTTCTGGAAATGCAGCAAAATCAAATAGAGGCTCTGATTTCCTCATTTGGTTCTCAAACGAGAAGTTCGAGAACTAAAACTCCCACGTTGAAAGGGCGCATATCAGCCAAATCTCCACCTGAGCTGACTGCTGATATTCTTTTGTCAGGCCTCGACTCGTGGAAGATTATGTGGTCCGATTACATGCAGGTTTCGGGCTACAATCAGGAACCACAAAAGAAACAAGTCGCTGTTTTTCGCGGATGTCGCTAGAAATGCTGTCCGTCTCAAAACACGTTCTAAATATCAGCGAAGAGACCGAAAAATCCGTATCAAGAAGCATATTCGCAGTCAAAGAAATGTTGCACAAGACAGGGTGTTGTTTGAAGAGCGCAAACAAGGTGATGGAGAAAGCTTCGATTCGTTTTTAATCGCATTGAAAAAGCTAGGAATAGACGCTGATCTCTGCGGAAACTGCTACGATGAGCGGCTCACTACACGAATCATTGCTGGCGCAAGAGACGCAACAGCCAGAGAAGAGTTGTTGGCGAAAAGCCCTTTTCCTAATCTACAGACAGCGGTTGATCTGTGCAGATCGAAAGAAATGGCGATAAATAACAACACTGATTTGTCGAAAAAGCAGAATCCGATTGCCAGTTCGATACAGATCAAGAAACCGTTTTAAAGACGATAGAAACCTAGGAACGATCGCAACAACATGTCTTGTCAATATTGTGAGCGAAGGCATGGTCAAAGAATAGCCTAGGTTGACTATGCCTGATAATTGGCCGACCAATATAATTCCTACCGGGTGTTTTTTTGCAACCAGCCTGAACCGTAATACAAAAAATGCTACCTATATGTCAGAAAATATAGTAATTACCCTCCCGTATCTCAAGTTTGGTAAAAATCGGTTATCAATCAATCTGCAGTTATTTGTAAGTTATTTTGCAAACATGAGTTTGAAATAAAAGCTGACCAATTCATACATGTTTTTGACTAGATACGGGAGGGCAAATATCACAATGCTTGCTTAATATGATAACAAAAACGGCATTTTCTCGGTATGGTACTTCCTCCGTTGTGAAGAATTTGAAGGCTTACACCGAATGTAGATATAGTAAAACTTTTGCACGTTTAAATGAGTTTTTTGCATGTTTTAGCTTGATAAATAATGACCAATGTGTTTGAACAATAAAAGTGTTTGTTTTGTATGGCACTGTTTACCTATTCTTAGCACTATTGTGGCCCGCAAACATTACAAAAATTATAGTGTGGCCCGCGAGGCCGACCACCTTGGACCCCCCTGATATAGACAATGTCATTATTCATATATTACC